ATCTCTCAATCTCTCACCCTATCGCTCTTCCCCACTCCGGCCGATGCTTATATCATTTGTCTTGCCTCCTCTCTTCACTTTCCTCTCATTGCTTTTGTCCTCTTTGTGCCTTTATTTTTTTTTCTCCCCACACTCTAAAGGCTGCCATGTGTCCCACGTTGTCTTCTCCACATTTAAACGACCGTGCTCTCTGCCACACTTAAAAACACATTTACACAGACACACGCATGAATACATCCTGTAACCTTTAGCTGGAGACTCCCCTCATCCTATTTATGGGAAAGATAAACACAAACACACATACACAGTCGTGCTTGTATCACCAAGGACATTAACACTGATTTACATTTGTTTCCTTGACACTTAGCAAAACCAAAATCACTACTTGTCCCATCCTAACCTTACACCTCCTCACCCTAAAATTTAATGATTTACATTCTTGCTTTTTGTCTCCTGTATACAAGAAATCATGCCCCAACATTATGAAAAACACAAGTACACACATACTGTCCTTCTGGCCGCTCACTGTATTTATCAAGGTGTCATTCCAGCACCCCCAAGAGAGTCTGCTCACCTTAAATATCTGCAGTGCCCTCTATTTTCACCAGAACTATCTAAATAGCATAGTTTGGCAAGTTTTTACAGCCTCTCTTCTCAACCTGACATGGAGAGTCTTGGGATTGTTGCTAACTGTAGTATGTCACAGTGACAGCCGTTGCTGCTCCGCTATGTTGCCTTACACCATCATTTACAGGAGCACACTAAACGCCCATGCCACACAGCCTGGGACAGAGGGTGTTATGCTCGGAGGATGAGCAATGAGAGGCCCAGCAGCTGCTCCCTTCCTCTAAAAACTCCAAAAAAGAGTTACAGAACCTAACTTCCTGCAACTTTCTAATGCCACAAAAACACTCTTGTTCCAGTATTTACCAAAGTCAATACTGACCAGATGATGCTTATAAAGCCTGATTCAACTGGCTGCGAAAACACTGAATCATTACGTTTTGGTGAATCACAGTAGAAAAGGTCTGTCCATTGAAACCAGCCCCTCTATCTAACGCGAACATGTCAAATCTCCTCCATTTCTCACACCGTGTGTTTATCTTAAAGAAGGATACTGGCTAATTCTTGGAACAGTGAGGGGGCTCATTTCCGCTTCTCGTTAATGAGCTGATGTTTCTGATCATCTCTATCTGAATGAGTTTCTCAGTGTGCCGGCAGCATCCTGCAGAGACACTTTCCTGGTCGCTCTCAACCATGACATGAAACAAAGCTTTGTGTCACAGCAGGTGTCGGAGCAGTATGAGATAGAGTCATTACATGTTTTACATGTTCTTTTCATGAATGTAACACGGCGCTGGTGTCTTTTAGCACCTCCTGAATGGTTTCTGTAACTGATTTGTGGGAAACATAATTAATTACTTGCCACTATTGGCTGACAAATTGTAACAATACTTTAAGACAATATATATTCTCCTTTTGATTTTGTTTTTTCACTCGAATAGATCCATGCGATAACCAGATGTCAAAACTGAATGATCTTGCTGCTGCAGTCAGTTTTATTCCTCAGTTTGATGTGTCATTCTGGGCTTTGCAGTGAAAAGGAAGGCAGAACAAAACCACAGTTGCTGGCACTCCCACCTGGAGCATACAGTGATTATACAGGCGGACAAGGACAGTACGAAGGTGCTCAAAAGGAAACACTGAGGAGCTGAGTTTTCAGTGTCTCTGCAAAAATGTAGCTCTGTAAAGATGAATTTGTTCCAGAAAACGAGAGGTGCATGAATAATGAAAAGTGTTTTCCTCGTGTCTGAAACAGGAAAAGAAAAGGAAAGGGTGTGGACGAGCAATGGCAACATCAAATAAAAATGTGCACGTTTATGATATCAGGCAGGTTAATGACATCAACCGACAAGACGTCATTGGAACTGTCCTCTAACTCTACTTACTAATTTGCTTTAAATAATAGGAGAGAAGCACTTAGAAACAGTAGCTCTGTCCATGGTGCTGAAACGGACCAGATCTCCATCTCTGTATCTCCACATGGAAGTAAGTCTGGAATAAATGACACTTACTTTGAAACCTGGTTCAGTTTACGTAAGTCTTGTGCTTAAATCTACCATCACAAGTTGAAAGGTATCTGCCTTACTTCTAACCAACATGAAAACACCAGCACATACTGCTCTCATCATCCCGCCTAACATTGCTTTTCAGCGTGCCCACACAAGACACACTAAGTCCCTCCATTATTTCCTCCCATTCTGCAGCAGGCCACTGTTCAACAGACATTTTCTACAGAGAAAACACACAGTGCCCACTGCTGGACACCATCAAATCTTCATTCACAAATGATGAAGGTCAGACTTGGAAAATAAAGACAGAGGGATGTAACAAATAAACAGTGAAAAGAAAGCTGATAAGGAATTTATTATTTTAAAAATGAAAAAATACATTAGTGTGTTCCCTGTTTCCCTGTATGTCAAGTTTCACTTTTCTTTGTTTTAGCTGATTTTACAATTGTGACAAACCATATCTTCTATGTTTAAATTCTAAAGTTAGGGCACATATGTAAGATAATAGTGTTTTTATGATTTCTTAGGTACACTTTAGCCAGTAAGCCTAGTTTAACTAATCAGAAAGCCTACTTTTGCTTCAGGGTTAGACTGTACGAAGTCCCAGAACACCAAATAAACGAAACAAAAACTAATCATCACTATCAGTGCAAATTCAATCTGTTATCTAAGTGACTGCACTTATATCCAGAATACATGATGAGGGAGTGCAAAACTAACTGCAGTTGTCTCTTTACCACATCGAGCTTTTCAGATTTCACTAATTTTACAATAAAATGACAAAACTTCACTTATCCCAAGCAGGGACGGAGGAGATGAAAACAAAAAAAAAACAAAGCAAACCAGGGACAGTTCTGTAAGGCAGCTGGTAGCTGCTTTGGTTTGCTCAGCCTGGCACTGGCTGGATGCTGAGGCAGCTCCGCACAGGGATGTAATGGGATACTGCAGCACTAGAGAACCGTGTGCACAGAAACTTGCCTAGGAGCATCAGGGAGTCCCGCACTAACCTTCCCCCCTCCCTCCCTCTCTTCCTCTGCCTCTCCCTCGGCTTTTTATCGAGTCTTTATGATCCAAAAAGATCCAAAAAAAAGTAAAAATCTGTGCATGACTTTAAACGTTATTACATATGAGCAGCTAAAAGAGGGCAAATAGCCAGAATATTCACTCAGAAAGAACGCAAATACAACTTCAGGTGGGGAAAAACAACCCCAGCATGCCTGTAGTAGGAGGAGAATGCAGCTGCTTACCTTTTTTTTGCAGGTTTCTCTCTCCTGGACACCGAGCTGTTCCTTTTCTCTACAGGCTCCGACACACTTTGAGATAGAGAGAAAAATAATCAATGTCCTCTTACTTATTTCCAGTTTCAGAATGAACAAGTCAGGAGTCTAGAACAGCCTTGTAGACACACCTTTACTCTGTCCTGTGTAAACTCTGCCACATATACACACACAGACACCCATTCAAATGCACCCCAAGACTGGAGTACCCAAATTGATAAGGATCTGCTCAGGGGAGGGATAAAAACTACACACACTCACACGCTGCAGTTTTTTTTTTTTTTTTCCTTTCCCTTGCCCACTCGCTCTGCTGCTTTTTTTCCCCTGCTGTCTTTGCCTGCACTGCTTCCTGATTGGCTCGGCTGCTCTTCAATAACATAAGCTCTCTTCTTTAATTGGAAGGGGGCCAGTTATGTGGTGCACCAGAAACCCTCCCGCCTAGCTCATCTCTATTTTTTTTTTCTCTCTCTTTTTCTCTCTAAGTGCCTGTGGAGAATAATGCTGAGCTCTGCAATTTCATACGCATCGAGTAAAGAAAAAAGGGAATGGAGGACAGGAGGAGGGGGAGGATGGAGGAGATGGGAGGGGAGGGGATGAGAGAGAAAGGGAGTGAGAGTGGGAATGTTGGGGAGAGAGGGGGGAGGGAGGTGGGAGCAATCGGAAGCGAATCAGTGGAGTCCTCTGCAGTGGGACAAGCAGAGGCTGCACGGGAACAAAGGGAGGAGAGAGGGGCTGTCAGGTGGGATGAGAACAGATTTGGATGCACCGGCCGCAGCATGTCGATGGCCAGTCAGACTGAAGGGAGATTTCCCTTTCGCTGCAGCGTGGCTAGGTGGCTCTGCTGCAGTGTGGAGTCTAATTGCCAGGCAAGAGGGGGGATGGGAAGGGAGGAGGTGAGGGGGGGAGGAAGGAGGAAGGAGGAGGAGGAGAGCGGGGGTTGGTTGCAGTGACGCCGAAGTACAGTCTTCCAGCCAGCCTGCATATATGAGGGGGGAAATGGGCAGCCAGCCGCAGTGTACACAGCGGTTAATGCCTTTTCCTCATGAATTATTTAATGTGCCCCACAGGAGAATTGGAGGGTCGCAGGCGGCAAACTACTGAGCAGCCTCACCGCTACTGAGGTTTATGATAATTACCAACACCTGAAGTGCATGTTGTCAGATTGTTTAATGGAGCCCCTTTAGTTAGATTATTTAATCCTCCTAATTTATTTAAATGCCTTGAATGGATTTTTTTTTTTTTTTTGTGGTATTATCTCATCTTTCCACTTTGGCTTCATGATGTGTTAAAAGGTTTTGCCATGCCGGAGAAAATGGATGTGCGGGATTGACTTTGCGGTGTCAGATTGCCCGCTCCTCTTTCTTTCACTCACATCTGATCCATTGTGTACCAGCTGCATTAAAGCACAATACCCGGCGTAGATCAATAACGGATCATACAGTAGCCCGGCCATCTGCGGAGGCTACAAAGAGCACTCTAGAAGTTGTACGATGACCTCAGAGAAATGCAAATACATCATTTGTTAAGTCAACAGCGTAAATGCCTGGTCGATGGATGGACAAATAAAAAGATACCCAATACATGAGGCTCAATGCCCCGGCGTAAGATAGCATATGTAATGTTAAAGCAAAAAGGAGGAGGCTAACAAATCTTTTTTGTGTCTTTGTTTAGTGTTTAATCCAGATTAACGTGTTGGAAGCAGCCACCATCTTGTCAAATAGTTGAAAAGCGGTGATTTTACACATGTACTGCAGCCATGAACTTACTGAGACATTATCTGCACAAACTTTGTGCAAGAACACAAATGTCCAAATCAGATAGCTTGAATACAACCCATGTTTCAAGAAAGCAGGTCACTGTAAGAACAGATGGCATTAGCATCACCTGACTGACAAGAAACCAGAAGAATACACAGGCAAAGAAGTGTTATTTACAAAAAGCTGGCAACAAATGGACAGCAGAATGGCGTTCGATGTGGATCTACAGAACCTACAGAAGGTCACGTGGGTAGAGTTGATGTTAAAAAAGTTTCATTTATTCTAAATCATAGAATTAAAAAAGTCTCATAGTGTGGGAATATAATCCACAAAAAGTGCATAAAGTAAACATTACAACAAACAAACGTTTCCATTCATCATCTGCGCATGTTGTCCTTCATCACTGTGGTTTCTTCTCTCTGAGGAAGGCTGTAGACCGTGATGGAGATATCTGTGTGTTTGAAGACGCTTTCCAGTATCACCGACACTTTTGCCCACTCCAGTCGATCCAGGCCACAGCCAATACTGTCAGAGAGGGAGACAAAACAGAAAATAAAGCAAATATGAAACTTTATGAATTTCAAAATAAATTATTTGCGCAAAGAAATATTTCTTGATAAAAGTACAACGAAATGACCAGAAATTCTACAAACCGAGGCACTGATATTCTTGTTACTCCATTCTCTACACAGTGTGACTTCATGTCCATCAGGCTCTCTTTCAGGCTGTGATAGGTGGGTTTTTGGCTGGCCCTTTTCTTTGTGATCTGGAATAAAATAATAGGAAAAGAAACACTTATAATATTAACTACAATGACTTTAGAAAAAATAATTTTAACTTTGTCTAGAGGTGTAGATTCTCAAATAATCTTAAACAAATGGTACATCTTTACCAGATAGTAGATGAAACGTCCTTCTCTCTGGAGTACAGCACACTGTCCTGTAACCTTTTCTGTTGGGACATTAAAAACAAAAACAAACAAAAACAAAAGATAACTGCATTAAAACAAGAAAACCATCAAACATGATGTCTCACTGCTGAACAACTCATTATAAATTCATGCTGTGCAACTAAAAAAAATGGTTGTTTAAAGTACTGTGTAGATCCTAAAGTTTCCACAAGATCTAATGTATATCGGGCGATATTTGGGATGAATCATTGATTTTCATACCGACTCATTCTGATGTGACACTGGAACAATTTACCCCAAAGGACATTTTCAACTGTAAAGCCACACTGAGAGAAAAGCGAGACAGTACTTACAGTTGTCCTCAAATGTATTCATACCCCCCCATTAAAGAAGGAAAAAAAAAACAGCTGTCACTGAAATAAGTTGAAATTGACAAAAGTAACAATAAATAAAAATGTAATTAAAATCATGACATTGCTTTTGAATTGTGGTTGAACAGAAATATTTAAAAAAGAAAAGAAATAAAAAATAAAAAATAAAATAAAACAAGCATTATGGGACCCTTAAACTAATATTTTGTTCAACAACCCTTTGAGCCAATCACTGCAACCAAGTGTTTTCTGTAACTCAACCAGACTTCTGCACCTGGTGACAGGTATTTTAATTTCGGCCAACTGCTCATCAGCAAAGTGCTCTAATTTGTCCGGGACAGTTTTGTTTTTTTAAATTATTCTTTTCAACCACAATTCAAAAGCAATGTCTTATTTCACTAAATTATAATTTTGCAAATTTTTCTCTATTATTTTTTTCAGTTTCTAGTTATTTGATCGACTATATGACTGTAGTGACTATATGACTGTAGTGACTATATGAATTTTTGCCTTTTCTTTAATGGAAGGGTATGGATAAATTTGAGGAAGACTAAGTGGTTGACTGTCAGTTTTTCTTTTTTTTGTTCCTCTGTGCTGAATAAAAAACGACCACATGAGGTTCATAGCCTCAAAACGAGACATGTTCAGACCTGATGAATTTTTAATAAAAGGGCTGACTCACTCTGCTCCTGTAACTCCGGCACCCCTTTGAACTTCTTCCTGAACATCACTGCTATGCCTGCCCCCATGCGGCAGTCTTCACTGATGCAGTGGGCCAAAGCTTCGCCTTTGGGGCACGAGAACAGGTCTCCGGTGACATAATTCAGTCTCGAGTGGTACTTTACCGGCTGGCCAGGAGGGGGCAGCATTACACTGGGTGGCTGAAGCACAAAGGGCAAAGCAGGAAATAAACATCGACGTGTCATCTGGCAAGGGGAACTAACCACACGAATTCACCCTTTAAAAGTAGAATAATAATATCTTTCTCAGCAAATTTAAGCTTTACCGTCATTTTCCCAGTGCTGGCTGGTCCCTGAAGTTTACACGACATTGAAAATATCCAGTGGAACACTTGAGGGTGACGGGGGTTCGGTGTTAAGCGTCGCATACACACATTAAAAAAAGGCGTGACTATCGGAGTTCAGTCCCTGCAGGTAGATTTGTTTAATACTTTACCGTGCGACAACAAAGCAGCTCGTATAACTTACAAATAGCAGACTCCAGGTATCCGTTTCAATGCCCAAAACAAAGCTCAGGCTTGAGAGTATGCGGAAGTGACTATTTAAACAGTTTAACCTCTCGCGAGAAAAAGCGAGACTTTATAAAGACGCGACACATCTTGTCAACCACTGAAGACTGATCCTTTGAATGATTTTTTAAGTCAACGATTTGACACGAATACGGTCGTCCTCGAGTTTATTCATACCCCCTATTAAAGAAGAGGAAAAAACAGCTGCATTGCCTTTGAATTGTGGTTCAACAGAAACATTTTAGATTATTAACTATTGTAGATTTTCTTTTGTTTTTTTTAACTATTCTTTTCAACCACAATTCAAGAACAATGTCTTCTGTTACTAAATTATAATTTAGCACTTTTTTATTATGACTTTTTTTCAGTTTCTAGTAATTTGAGTAGTTATTGTGAATTTTGCCTTTTCTTTAATGGAAGGGTATGTTAAATTTGAGGACAACTGTAAGTGTGCATTTTGTGGGGGTATGGAAACTACAGATCATCTATTCTTTCAATGCATTTTCACAGAAGCACTGTGGGCTGATATATATGACTGGCTTTACACCGATTTTCTATTTGAACTGTTTCTTCTAAAAGATATTATTTCTGGTTTTGTGTCAGAAGACAAAGATTATGATTTCTTGATTAACAATATCCTCATCTTCAGAAAAATGTACATACACAAATGCAAATACATGATGTGAATCCTCGGTTTTATGTGTTTCATAAGGAGTTTCTCTCCTTCACTAAAGCCCTAAAAATGAAGAGTAAACATGCAATGAAACTGGTCAATTTGATTGAGAATTACGATCTGCATAGAAAGCCCGAGCTTTATGTTTTGTTCTATTTCTTTCTTTCTTTCTTTCTTTCTTTCTTTCTTTCTTTCTTTCTTTCTTTCTTTCTTTTCCTTTCTGTTTGGATTGTGTTTCATTTCCAATTGCATTACATCTAATTTTCAAGAATTGCATTTTCTAACAGATATATATTTTGTTTTACTGCACTGTAAGCACTTGTTCGTTACAAAAACAAAAAAGCCTTTTGTGAAGATTGTATTCCGCAATGCTTTGTTAAATGAATTAGTTAATAAACCATTAAATAAGAAACACTGAAGATTTATGTGAAATATTCTGTAAACAGCAAATAATAACACCGAAATCCAAAATTGTACAAAAAAAACAGTTAGACCTACCATCCAACTATTTTTCAACTGAAAAGCAAGATTAGGTTTAGCTAAGTTCCCAAATTATTAGTAAGTCAATGGAATACCTAAAAATGTTGCCTTTTTGCACACATTTTGAAAATAGTGCTATTTATTGCTTACTCCTATTTTTTATTGTTCTTTACTCTTCTTTTACTTGGTTTATTTCTTTTACTTCTTATGCAGAGAGCTAAGATTCACCTGAGTCAAATTCCTTGTTTGCTTGTACAAACTTGGGCAATAAAGTTGATTGTGATTCTAAATCTGATTGTGGGTACAGACCCTGTATACTGTCACATGTGTTTTTATTTATTCTGGTTTATAAGATCTTTAGTCAAGTCAGGCTGTTCGTTACTGCAGATCCATCCAAACTAAAACAGGAGTTAAGAAAATGTAATTAAACCTCTGTTTCTACATGCCCACAAGTCCATAGAAGGTCTAATCATCCCAAATCAGCAAAAACACCTCTATCGGGAATGTTTAAGTTTGTTTATTAAATAACTTTTATGCTTATTTTATGATGTATTTTCACAAAACCCATAAAGAAAAGACAGGAAGTGCATTACGACTGCAGCATCTATAAAATACAGATAAACAAACCTTCATCATCAGCAATAAATAATAAAATACTGTTACCTATTTGCTCCATAGCTTGACTACATGCAGCCCTTTTGAATGCAAAATATACATCTGTGGACATGCATCTAAAGTTTGTACAGCATCCCACAGTACAAAGCCAGAATGACTGTAGGGTTGTTTTCTTTCATTGACATATAAATTGTAATAGATGCAAAATCACAACATCAATGGTCACACTTGAGAAGTGCAAGTTTCAGATTGACAGTCCATGGTCCAGCTTTAGAAGTCAGCACTACGTCTTCGCTCATTAATCCAGTCCCCTGGGTTTACGTCCATCTGCAGCATCTTCATCACCCACTTGTCCCTCCGTGCTCCATCGATGAACTCATCCAGCGAGAGCTCCCCTAAGTGACAAGAGACAGTCATTCTCTTTTATTTTATTGTATGTTTCTCCTTCATAAGCCTGATAAGGAGGCTGCCAATGTACAGCTGCCTCCCGCCTCCCCCGTCAAGTTACACAAACAGCAATGACTGCACGTACATTTCTACATTAGCACTTCTCAAGGGCATTATAGCATCTTGACACAGGTCTTTTTTCTTCATCCAGGAAACATTTCAAGCTCTCAGAAAGAAAAAAAAAATGTCACAAACACTCACCATCTCCATTTTCATCAACCAGCTCAAATATCCGGTCAACCACTTGGTCTGGGGTCAGCAGATTACATTCCTCGTCCAGCTCTCCGTGGCAGGCTTTCTTCAGTCGATAAATAGACTGAGAGTGACAGGAGAGGATGTTACAATGACTCCTGCACAATTCATTACAACCCACTGATTTATTCTGAAATAGTCTATAAAATGGTTAGAAGGCTTTACAAATCAACCGTGAGGTTCACATGGTTGCCGTAAAATAGTAAATATTACCTCCACAATTTCAAGAAGCTCTGTTTTATCGATGCATCCGCTTCCATCTTTATCATACATTTTGAATGTCCATTTAAGTTTGTGCTCCAGTTTTCCCCTGAGGACTAAGTTCAAAGCTGCCACATACTCCAGAAAATCAATGGTGTTGTCCTGTGTGCATGAAGAGAAAGAGTTCAAATGGCATGAAGGCCTGCTTTGATGTCATTTAGAGGCTGAGTGTTTCTCTACTTTGAAAGGCAAAATTTCTGTTCTGTGCAGAATAGTCTAGAGACAACAGTCAAAAATCTGTGTCACTGCAGCTAATTATTTTTATATTTATTTCATCAGACAATTATTGCAAGAAAAAAATACCAAAAATTAAAATTGCATCTGCTGATAAAGTACTAATATATGAATTCATTAATGGGGCTTTATTGTCAAAAAGTGCTTCCAATCAACAAATATTCACGAAAACTGGGGCAAGCACAGCCAGGAGATAGATGACTATAGACAAGGTTTATGCTTGCACGCAACAGAAGTTTGTACTTACGCCGTTCTTGTCAAAGGCGCGAAACATGTTTTCAATGTAATCTGCAGCCTCCTTGTTATCCGTAACACCGAAAAAACTCTTGAACTCGTGCATGAACAGAGTCCCACTTGGGCATTCCACAACAAACTTTTTGTACCATTCCTGCAGCTCTGCCACATCGATTTCCTTGTCCGGATCACATTCCTCACTCAGGCGCTGACCCATTTTGGAAATATGTTTTGTATTTTTCTATAAACGCAAAATTAGTTTCTTACATAACATGAACCTGTTTGACCTGATTAACTATTTAAAAAGAAAAAAAAAACACACCCTCTATATTACAAAATCCATTAAAAGTTAATGTTCAGTTGCAGAGTGCTATCTTTCTGCAAATCAGTAAAAAACTAAATGATCGCTGTGGCATCAAAGTCCATACAAGCTTAACTGCTATTTGGCTCCCTATTGTGGCAAATCCTTTCTGAAAGTGAGGATGAGACACAGGCTGCTATGGATCACATGATAAGGGATTAGAAATGAACACTTGTCAAAATCACTTAGTTCACAGACAGCTCATGAGAGGATTTCCTTGTGCTGCTGCTCGTACCTAGAAATGGAAAAGCACATGTATGTTAGATACCCTAAAATAGGTTTGGTGGGCCTCTGTTTTAGTTGGCATTTATTGATAATGTAAATCAGTTCCTTGTGTATGTTAAACTAAAATAAACTAAGGATTTAGGCCTGTGGGCCAAACGATAAAGTCAAATTATGTAATTACAAAGCAGAAAAAGAACTTGAATAAGTGAAATTTCTAAAGTGAAAATGACTGGAGTTGATCGTCAGAGGTCATGCACGTTATCGTCAAGCTTTCTGATCTAAGTTTGAACACAATAAAGGCTATCACACAATTAACCAGTTACCTGATAAGATTAAATATGGCTTTGATAATGTCTGTCTCAAGCACATGTATTTGCAAAGGAGGAATTTTCACCAAGTTTCCAGTCACAGAGGTTCACGGTCAGACAAATATATGCTTTCAGTTGCATTATGGGAAATGTAGGATGCAGCGCTTTGTGTTTGTTGGGTGTAACCCACGCTTGGTCCGATCAGAACTTCATTGAAAACAAAATCACTGCTGTACCCCTTTATGTGACGGTTCCAAGAACAGGACGTTTCTGACCAGATTCACCAGGTCAAGTGTTCAGTTATTCCTAAAAGACCTGACCTTCAAGTGCCAAGTTATTCACTGCTACCCTGATTACTGTTTACATGCCCTCTGCAGTCTCACTCAAGTCTATAATAAATCGCCACTAATGATGGGCATTGAAATACACCTCCTGTCTCAAAACGGCAATTATTTTTGGAAAAATGGGTGGCAACATCGGGTAAGACATTGGCTTTTTTCTTGAGTATCGGGCAGTCCATAGGAATTAGGAAATAACTACATGTTTTCAACATTGCTATTAGTGGTAGCTCCGCCATTGTTTACAGGCAAGAGCTTGGTCTGCCCCAGTACCTCCCTGGCCCATGATATGTGCTGACAATAGGTACAGCGATAATCTTAGCTTAGAGGTCTCAAGGCCACCGAGGAGTCACTGGATGTTATCCTCTCATGATTAAAATGATTCACCTTCTTACACAACAGGTATTTTAACCCTTACCTATATTTAGCTTCTTCCATTCACTGTATGGCCTGTACTCATCAACCTTGTTTGTTTTTTTTTTTTGTTTTTTTTTAGATGTGGCTAGTAGCTTTCACTCCTTTGTCATTTAGATGTCACTGTAACTTGCCCTCATGTTTTGGGTCAGTAAAATCAATAATTTTCTAAGATTTTCAACAGCATGCCAGCACATACAGTAGATTGTAGTGAAGGGGAAGGGTCAGTACTTTAAAACACTAAATGTTTAAGCATGTTGACATGAAGATTATTCCACTACTAATGTTTCGATATCGTCTCACAATGCTGATGTACAACTCAAGGTAGAAATCTTACCAGTGGGAATAGAGATATAGAGATGTTGACATGTGGGTTGGGAGTCACCCACATAGCCACAAGCCACAACCATCACCCATCAACAACAATTTGGTACGGACTGCAAATTTCTCAGATTTCAAAGACATTTTTCTCTGAACTACAGCTCTGGGCCAAAAGACCAACCAGACGATGTTGCTATTTATAGACTCACACATCAAGCAAGACTTAAAGGTCATTCCTACGATTCACTGGCGGGAACTGCTAATCGGGTAAGAAACAGAACTGGATTTGCAACTCAAGTGAACAGCTTCCTTAATATTAACTGAGTGCAATACACTTCAAATTTTAGCATTTATTGCTTTCCATGAGTACTATGGTACAAGCTGAAGCCTTCAATTTCCAGCGATTATCAGTTTTACGAAGGCAGTGGACATGTATTACAAGTCTACAAAAACTGATTTACAGATATGTACTGTAAAAACCCTAATTATCAAAAGTGACAGCTGCACAACTAAGGTATGACATACAGAAAGTGTAAAAGTACCTTGTGTTTTGTTTACAGAGTGTGATGCAGAAATGGCTGCCCTTAAGTCAAACCAATATTCTATCTAACCAAACTGGCAATATTGTGTTTTAGTGGCTTCATACAGTGACAAAGCAAAACTATGACATTTTCCACATCCTTCAAGGGGTCAGTGTTAACAAGTGCAAGATAATATTAATAAGAAATAGATTTCATGGGATGTGCTTCATAGAAAAAGCAGACATTTGTGAAGCGTTGCTTCACGTTCTCAATGGCAGGTGTCCTCATTCACCTGGAGAGAGACACATTCATCAAAAAGATCTTCAAAACAACTGTGCTTAGGCAAAAACACAACTCTGTCAAATGTATCTGTTTGGAAATACATGCCAAATGAGTAATGAAATTACTGAATACATCAGTTATCAAGGTTAAATTATAATGTTCCAATATAAAAATCAAGATAAAAAGATTAGAAAAACGTCTAGTCAACAGTGTAAAAGGCAGTCTCCATAATCATTTTTAAATCATCTCTTTCCAGTTGAAAGACCAGGTGGCGTGTGGCCTTGAGAAGTTGAAACGGAAGAGGACAAAAAGATCCTTGTGAGGAATCTCGAGGTCCACATCACTCCTGGTCCTGAAGCCTAAAGGTCCACAGTGCTACAGATATACCCTTGGTGCGGTATCATACAGTGTAAAAAAAAGTCAGTTGGCAATCTGGCCTTCAAGTTAGTCATGTTCCTCAGGCTCTATTGCAGTCTCTGCGCCTTTTGAAATGTCAGCACCACCCTCTGTTGACAAGTCAGGTGAACTACTGGAAGAGGGGACCTGCTTGTCACTGGTTAAGCCCTCTCCATCACTACTGCTGCTGCTGCTGCTGCTGCTGCTGTTCTCCCCACTGTCCTGCTCAAAGCTCGTACTCTGCTCTGATGAAGCTGGCTGCTCAGCTTGGTCCACAGTGCTGTCATCCTTTGGACTGTGGACGGACTCAGATGAATTTCCTTCCTCTTCAGAAGGTTCAGTCTGTGTGCTGCTGAGGTCTAAAGAGCAAAGTAGAAAGTGTTTAACTTTTACCTTCTAAATAACAGATTGTGTACAAAATCAATTCTAGGCTTTTTTTTTTTTTTTTGAGCATTTGAAGATGCACACACAACATAAATCTGTAAAGTTGATAACAGTCTATATCAATTCTTAAATACATTAATCATCTGGGTGTCAACTGGTAGAAAGCAGGATGTATTTCAGCTGTGTTACACAGATACTTTAAAAAGTTGTTAGCCTCACTCGGAAATGAAAGGGCATAAGTATATACTGTTAGGTCTTACATCACTGTCCACAAAAACTCAAATGTTTAAAGCATAAAAAAAACAAAAAGGAGAGGAAAGCTTCGAGCGGGCTGCTGTTGTTCCACACAGCACAGGTGGCAAAAGCAGCCAAATGTGGCTCTGCACTGTTGCCCCGTGAACCTTGCTCACCCGACCTGCACCGTCTGACTTCTATCCGTTTCCCAAACTGAAATCCCACTTGTGTGGTCGCCATTTTCAGAGTAATGATGAAGTCATCCATGCTGTTGAAAAGTGTCTGGACGCTCAAGATGTGACCTTCCTCCACAATGGTAACATTTGTGAACAAGTGTATTGAAGTTAAAGGAGACTGTATTGTAAAATATTGCAAGAGCAATCTTTTTCCTGTGACGTTTTTTCGGTGAGGCCGAGAACTTTTTGAAGTGCCCTCTTACACTTTTAACCATACAGCTGCTTGGGAGAGACAAACGACTAAAAAGTGCCTCATATTGCTGTATAACAAGTGAAAAAAAGGAGAGCTAGAGAAAGAGAATTACAGCTCCTGGCTCCTGTCCTGCCTCTGCGCAGCTGGACAATCATGGTGTGAAATGGTTGTGAATGAATGTTGGATCATTGGTTTTGGAAAGCAACAGAAAACATTGGACATAGACTCTCCAGAGCAGATGTTGGAGAAATGTCAGGGGAGGAGTTTTCCAAAACCATCCAACCATCTGACCAACAGTTTGGAAGGTATGCAAACTCTGCTTTAAACCCCAGTTCAACTAGCTTTTCTTCACAGTTCTCATTCATTTTGTAATTCAGAAGAAACAACAACAGGCACCAGATTTGCACTAGATATATGTGTGTTCTCTCTTTTCATGTCCGTACAACTACTTCTGTTTTTACTGTAATATTTTGAAAGGGTGGACCTGAACTACAAAGCTGTTGTTTGTCTATGCAGTAACCACATGATCTCACAGTGTCTGTTAAGGCTATGTCAGCTGAAGTAAGGACGAATTCACACTTACCATCGTCATCTGAAATACTAGGTGCGTCACAAGAAGTTTCACTTTTGTACTCTTCCTCACAAGAGTCTTTTGAAGACTCTGGTGTCTCTGACAAGCTCTCCGGCCCTTTATGACAAGATGACTCCTGTTCTTCGCTTGCTGTTTCATCCTCCTCTTTTTCTTCAAACTTCAGCCTCTTGACCTCCTGCTTGTCAGCGTCAGAATCCTCCTCTTCCTCCGGGTGTTTGTTTTTTATCCCACTGCTTGGCGTCGTTGCACCTTCTGAGACTGAGGATTCACTAACACAAACACACAAAATCAATTAATCAGATTATATACTTGAGTCTGAGCTCATGTGTTGTTATTATTGGAAAGGTGGGGTCTTGACAAGATCTGAAAACAGAGAGCAGGTCTGACATTAATAGCTATTAATCCTTAGAGGTCTGCCGTCATGCTATAATTATATGACATATTCGAGACGTTACGACCGCTAGCGCACATTCGGGGATGCTGTCAACTTCCCTCGAAAGTGCAGACTTTAAACTCTCTCCCAGTTTTTGTTTCATGTCGACAGACCACATAAAACTGGAGATATGATGGTATGAACGTGAATGAAAAAAAATGTGTGTAAAATATAAGCATATGAAATACACGCTGCAGGCGTCGTACTTCTTCCTATCTGTCATTTTTGGCCGTTTTAAAAAGCGAAAGAAAGTCCCTGGAAGTGCCGGTCTTGTAATGTGGCTGTCTGCCTCATTCTGGACAGAAACTATTTTCAGGAGTGGCACGGATAAAAACAGAAAGAAAGCCACACCTGCTTTGTATATAGTTGCAAATATTTGGATTTAGTTTGATTTTATATCAAATTTACCTTGTCATGTTCATATCTGCAACCTATGGTTACATTTTCAACTTTCTAAATGCTTCATTAAGCATGTTTGTGGTTTTTATTGTAATAAATAATAGATTTTTTTCAAATTAGATTTTATATTTTCTGTGTGTTTTTGAGCCCAAAATGTTAATATAGTAGGTTAAAGTAAAAAAAAAAAATGTTAGTCAGATCATATAAGTGATGGGCTGAAAAAAAGACAACAAACATGGGCATGGTAAACATGTTTCTATGTAGTATATAAAGACAAAACTAAAAGCATGCAAAAACGGCCAAAACAGGCCAAGAACTCAATAAGTTACTACACACTCACACTGATGCACACATGTACCAAACCTAATTATTACCTGACACAGTGCTCATCCACCTCCTCTTTGGTTGGCTCTGGCTCCCTGTTGACCGGACAGTCAGGGAGCCCATTGGTGGAAAGCGAAGTCGACAATGACAGCTTTGGTCTTGTGAGTGGTTTCGGTGTTCCCGGTCCATTCACATTTCGACTGCAAAAAAAAGAAAATGACATTTCCAACACAAGCCATGTAACAAATCGAATCACAAGTCATACCAGCTAAATGACTTAGATCCAAACTGACAGGCCAGAGAGATCTGTCCTCACTAAACCCTGGGCTGTCTTTTGGTTATATATGAAGCAATTTCTGATTTTGTGGAAGTCAGTTACTTTATAAAGTATGTTGCTCCCACCTGTCTGAATATAGAGAAGAGTTACCAGGAAACATCACTCCATTCATTCTGTTTACACTGGATGCCCCATTTTTCCTTCGAAAGAAGTAGAAAGGCACATAAATGGCTGGCTGTTATATGTACTGTTAACTTGTATGGATGAATAATGATTAAGAAAAAATTCAAGGGAGCTGTGAATGTGCATCAGAAGCAGCTTAACAGAAACACTGCTACCAGAATATCAAGGGTAAAACTCAAAACTTAGCAGCTGATATACTTACTCCGATGTAGGGTACACACAGCTGACCACCATTACATTCTGAAATGCAGAAACATTCATATAAATATTTTTAATTATTTTAAGGCCATAGAATTTACATTCACAACAGCATACATTATTGTCTATCATGGGTGAAAAGAAGTAAAATTAAGTTTATAGATATTTAAAACAAAGCAGTACAGTGCAGTGCTCACCTTCTCCAAACCCCTGAGAAACTTGTCTGTTCCTGTATAGTTTCTTTTGGGGTCTGTAAGGAGTTCACACAGGCGCTGAATAGTGAACGGGATTCTGGAAGAGTTATCAGACATACATTCAGGATTAGAAACACATAGCTGTCTCACAGCCAGCATCGGCACTGTCTTTGAAAACTTGTAAAAGCAGGCAAGCGTGGACTGGAGATCAATAAGGGGGAAAAAAAGGAACAATTTGGACTGTTATATACTGCCATAGTCACAGCTGACCACATGCTCAGACACAATTAATTTATTATGACTTTTTATTAACATAATTCTTCATCTCTTCTGAGGGAAAGGTTTCCACAGTATTATATTTCAATTTTTTTCCAATATTCATCTAAAAAACTGCAGCTGTTGCCTGTTTTTTTTTTTTTTTGTTGTTGCTTCCAGCTGTTTAAACTAACGTGTGATTGACTTAATAAAAAAAAGAAGAAGCAAATTTCCGATTTCAAAATATCACAATAAGGAGACAGCTGACATAGAAGCTCTGTTTTGAATGATTTCACAAACACTTTTGCAATCAATGAGAAAAAAATAGCAATCCTGTCAGACAGACATGAGCACGAAACAGGTTCGATTAAACTTCAAGTGATTTGATTTTAATAGCTTTTGTTTTTCTATATTTTCATTTCAAATGCACCTCTGAATATCTATCGTTCTCTACGCTTATATTGGTGAGTCAACAGATAATATGCGAGAACACTAACAAGAATAACTTACGTGTTCCTTGTATATGGAGAAGTGACTATGGGTTTGTTTGCTAATCTGTGCATTTTGTGCTTCACTCACCCATTGTAACCATCCACTATTTTTAAGATCCTCTTCTTCATTTCTTCAAAGGTAACATACTCGACATTGGGATTGTGCAGTCCTCTCTGTTCCGGTGTTGAAGCGTGGAAATCATCCATGACTTTTTCCAACTTAAACATAAAGTATGTTTTGAACTGTGACCACGGGATCCTGAAAGATATTGGAAATGCAAGCCTTTTAAAATGCACAACAGCACTGAGAAAATGATTGCGTAATGTTATTTACCAGTGGTATCAAGAACAAAAATATACTCGATGAAGAGGACAAGTCAAATTTTCATATACATACAAAATAATGAAAAATCTTGGAACAAATTTGAATCTGTTGGCAGGAATAATTTCTGTGTTGTAGAACTTGTAGTTTTAATATTTAAGGCTATGTGTGTGACCTCCTTGCAAATGACTACTCACAATGGTTGGCCCGTCTTGGCAACATGACATAAGAATTGCTCTAGTACAGGACAGGTCTCTCTCTTCCCTTTCTTCTCATAATCTGTAAATGAAAAACAGAAAGTTAGTTTATTGTTAACAACATTAATCCAGCTCACACACAAGTCTGTGCCCAGCCTCTGTGCCTGCATTACACTACATCTAAGGGAGAAAGTTTTCAGAATAACCTTTGGTTTCTGTAAATCACATGTCGTTTCTTTTATTTTGTTTATTGTTATACTTTATTCCTTAAATGCTATCTTTGCTGCTGTAACACTGCAAATTCCCCCACTGTGGGATTAATAAAGGATTATCTTGTTTTAGTTCAAGGCTACTTTTGGCGCATAAAATGTACGGTTGCATCAATTCAACGATTGTACAGTGTTATTTATCATCTGCGTCAGGAGCAAACATACTTAATACGGAAGACATCAAGTCAAATGTCATATCTAAACATCGCCAAACTACATGGTTAGCTGCATGGAAAGTTCATTGAAGTTAGTAAGTTAGCATTTAATTGTTAGCAGTATGTTGTGACGTTCCGAGCTAGCTCTTTACATAACCGCTAAGTGTAAGAAAGGAAATAAATGGGTCAAAAGCGTGGAATAAGACGAGCTCCTTTCTTGCAGAAAACAATATTAAACCAGCTAGGCCAAGCAGAGGCAGAGATCAGAGTCCCTAGGTGCCTCTTCTAAACGCTAGTTGCTGTTTGTAAGCTAAGTTACGGTAACGTACGTAACGTAGTTAGCAAACATTAGAGATTTAGCTGAGGGCATAGAATCACATGTAAAATTATCTAAAAATCTAATAATGAATCGCTCGTTTGAATAACTGTAAACATTGCCTTGAAACGCTTCCAATAACGCGTCGATGTCCATTGCTGTGTCCAGTCACAGGCAGGAAATACTTGCTAGTTAGCAATGCGTTAGCAGGTAGCAACTCAACAAAGCTGGTGGCAGCGGCGACTGCGCATGTCTGCTATTACGTATGCACATTTGCGGAAGATGAGAAGATCAACAAAACAGTGGTGCGGCGTTCTCGCAGCACCAGAATAAGTAGCCAGAATCAAAATATTGTTTGTTGTCGAAGCGTTGCTATTTTTAATTTTTACCTAAGGCATGTGTAGGCTTCCTTGACAGTGACTTCTCGACCGCTCCGGTTCCCTGTAGATGCCGCAGGGCAGTCAGCGGGCGTCTACGTTTTTCTGTTGTGACGGCGCAAACCGGCGAAGCGACCAATGAGTCAGCAGCTGATCGGGGTTAATTTTACCTAACGAACCTATATATATGTAACGATAACAGCCGAGGTAGACACGTCTGCGCAACACATCTGCTAGTTTTTTAAACGGAAGTTTTTTGGCCTTTCAGAAGTAACAATGGCAGTTCCCGTAGCTGCGTTACAACTGAGCTCATCGTCCAGCCCGGGTCTGCTGGAGCACAATATTCATCTGAGCGACAGAGATCTGGGAAGGATTTCAAATGATAATGATAATGACACTCTGCCTTTACATTCTCCGTGGACTTTCTGGCTCGACAGGTAGGAAACTGTTCATTTTCCCCTCCGCTGTTGTGTTAGTAGCCAGTGGTAAGTAGGTGAACTCTGTGACTGACCTGTTAGGAGAACAAAGAGGGGGGATGACGAATTTACCTATAAGTCAGTTATTGCAATACAGATGGCATTATGAGTGTGTCTGTCGGCGTCTGTCTGCTTTAATAAATGACAAAAAAATACTATTACAACTGAAACTACATTTTAACGGTGTAGATGCAGCTTATCTGTCGGTTTGTTTCCTCTGTGACCTACATAAGCCTCCACTTGGAAGGATCTTAAAATAAGCAAATGTGCGTGATTCTGACTAACTGGCTAAACATAATAACTGAGCTGGATGTGTGACAAGGTCAGTGTGAGTTTGTATAATCACAGGTGTTATTGTTCCAAACTTGTTGACTGACTGCTAATATGTCTGTGGCCATTGTTGAATCACGTGTTTGTTTTTTTTAAACTTATGTAGGTCAAACTTTTATTAAACACAAAGTTCCAAATTTAACACCCAAACATTTTTTTTTGTTTGATTAATGTTAAGTCATCATAGCAGAAGTCAAGCAACACCGAGTTGCACAAGCGTCACCATGCACGGTTTGTGCAAATCACAGGGTGCTGTGTTCAAATGGGGTCAGTGTTGTTTACTGTTTACTGGGTTATTTGTCATTTGACACTCTTCCCCCCTCTCTCTCTCTCTCTCCAACCCCAACCTGTCTGCTCAAAGGGCAGCTCTCTGAAACATGTCTGATTAATGGAGCCAAGAAAACAAATATTTAGAACATGTCAAGTTAAAGGACCTGAGATATTTGCAGGTGTACTTTTTTCTTTTTTTTTTAATAAAGCAAATACAGTAGATCCAATTTTTTTATTTATTTATTTTTGTCAGATCTTTACCTGGAACAACAGCAGCTGAATGTGAGTCAAACCTGAAGAAAATCTACACCGTTGAGACCGTCCAGGTAAGATGCTTTTACAGTCTTGACAAAAGAACAAAGCTCCAGCAGGTGCAGTGAGCTTCGTGGCTTTGTATTTGAAAGTAATTTGCTCTAAGTAGCATCATCCATACATCCTGTGTCTACAGGTTAAACTGCATTTTACAGTTTCATCAGCCTAAAGTTCAGTAGCAGTGCACATAGTATTGTGACTCTGTGTAATAACCAATAGACCAAAATAGTTCAGTGAGCTCCTGACAAGGTCTTAAATTACGTATTGATACACAAACGCCTACAAATCAAAATGTTAATCTGCGTAATTGCTAATTAGCAGAGCAAATTATTTCCAATATGTCATTAGTTTGATTCGTGCACCCGTGTGTGTGTGTGTGCGTGGTGTTTGTAATTGTGTGTAATGCGGAAAAGACCTTTGGCTGCGATTGTGTCCACTGTAGCAAATGTAAAAATCAACAAGGTCATCTGTCTGTACTTTATGTGCTAGTAAATGGTTCAATAAAATACTCTGTTTCCTCTGTTCACCTTGGCACTGGAGTAGAACTTCTGGAGAGTTTACAACAACATACCCAGTGTCTCTAGTTTGCCACTAAGATGTAGCTATCACCTGATGAGAGGAGAAAGAAAACCACTTTGGTGAGTTGAACCTGGGAAAAAAAGTGTACTTTTTTATACAATTTATGTGTATTTATAGCGTGTAATGCATCCTGCTGGTTTGCATACAGGGAAGAAGAAAGCAATGCTAAAGGTGGTGTTTGGAAAATGAAAGTACCCAAGGAGTGCACTGTAAGTGATACATCATATTTAAGTATCTTTTTATGTAAATGTACTACTTTGTGACTGTTTCACAAATTTATCTTCATATTTACAGTCTGCCGTGTGGAAGGAGTTGCTGTTGGCTACCATTGGAGAACAGTTCAGTGACTATTGTGCCTCAGGTACGTTTTCTTGGTTGTGAAAATACCATTGGTTAAACTCAAGGAAATGAATTCTGAAACGCTTCACTCTGATGTTCTTACAGAGGACGAAGTAGTCGGGGTCAGCGTCAGTGTAAGAGACAGAGAAGATGTTGTTCAGGTCTGGAATGGAAATGCTTCTTGTGCTACCGAGTCCAACGTCTTAGGAAAGATCTATGAGCTCCTTCCTCAAATACCTTTTAAAGCAGTGTTTTATAAACGTGAGTATTTTCTTCCATCCATTGACAGTGTTATGTAATCATGTAATATGTAATAATCAGCAGTAACAACAGACAATGAGAATACTTACGTCCTGTTTGCTTCTATTTCAGCGCATGAGGAGCATCATGCTTTTGAAGGAGGTCGATCAAGACATTAGCACGTTTTGCACATCAGAAGCCTTGAGATTTTATTTTTTTTTAATTATTCTGTTGAACAAGATTTGGCCTGTAATACTGGGTCAAATTTTTAAGCAGTTTAGTTGCTTAATGTACCATCTTAATTACCTCAATGTAGCCCAAGTATTACGACTCTGATTCAGTGAAATTTCACATCTTCTGAGAGCTACTGTCATTCATAACAAAATACTTTTATTTTAATGGAAAGCAAAAACTATTTTAGTTTCATTTTAACTATGGAAGTGTTTGTATGTTTTTATACTGCAAAGTTTTACAAACAGTAACCAAAACAGCAGATCATTTACTTTTTATTTTTTGATGTATTATAGCATACTCTGAGCAGTTTACTGAGCACAAACAAAGCTAGGTCTTTGAAATAAATCTCACTTTTGGATTTAAGAGGAGGCCAAGTTCTACAAAGCAAACCTTTATCCTAACAATACATTACAAGGCTTTTCTAGTCAGCATGTTTATCTTTTTTGTAATTACAGCCAAAATACTATTGCCTATGCTGGACAACGTAAATATTTAGTATGCTGTATGGCTAGTATTTGAGCATAAAATTGCACAGTCTTTTTTTTAAATTTTATTTTCTTGTGTAGGATAGGAGTGAAAGTAATATGTTCATGTTACAATAAAATGACCTCAGTGCACAAATCACCTTGAGTAGATACTGAGATATATATGCAATCATTTGTATTCTGTAGAATTTGTGGCAAATTTGCTGTGTTGTGGTTGTCATTTTGTTTCAGCCTCTGCCCTAAATCAAGCACTTTGTTTCTTACTGTGTTTATGTGACATCTGATAGTTCCTCCAGGGTTGTGTGGAGTTGTGATACGAGAGACCAAATGCACTTTGGTTTTCTGTCACGTTTTCTAATGAAGTGTAAAGCTAATTTTCTTGTTCATTTTGTTATGGTTCTGTTTTTTTTCTTTTTTCGGCTTTTGATATTAACTGAAATGTGTCGACGACTTCATGTGTTCATCTGACCTGCGTTCAAATGAAATTTTTACAACCAACCATTTGTAAAGTAGATAAAACTGGCCACAGGTAAAAAATTAACAATCAACACATGACACGCAGAAATCTGTCGCGAGGCCACAGAAAGGAAAGATGTTGCTGTTTTGAGCCTGTTGTAATATATTTGTACAAATCACAGGTGTTTGAGGTGACGCCTTCACTGCTGCAAGGCTTAAACTGTATAAAACTGGTGACGGCTTATTACTGCTACACCTAAAACTTTCATTTTCTCTCAAATCCATAGCTTTAAAGTGTTTCCCTCTGTGGTTTTATATGTAATAGGCTGTATTTGTGTTGTTGAAAATCATAATAATGATAGGAAAGTGTTGAAACTCATGTAATTTACATCTCACCAAAGGCCTTTTTTTGTGTGTGTTTCTGTACGAGTGGCTGCATAGAGCAGAACAGGATCATTCTGAGGACTAGTACTGTAACGCTAAGACATTTGAGGTTATTTCTATGGAACTATGGAGTGTGCATTGGAACCCATAGAAAGACTGCTGCTGTGGTTTATCAATTAAATCAAATGTTGAAGTGTTTGTAATGCTGATGGCTCAGCTGGGATTATCTGCTAAAATCAACAACATTGACAGGAACGGTTAGTTTTACAGACTTTGCCAAATGTGTTTAGTTGTTCATGTAATAATGTTTGAAGCACATACTGTAGGATAAGAGAATTACAATACTTTCCTTGCACATAAACCGCTGACCGCTCTCTTCAGATCTCAGACTTTGTAACTGATTGTTGATCTTGGATGGTGCCTTGTGCTTTTCAGCGGTTTACAATGTTAAAGTCCTCGGTGTTCAGCATGTTGAAATTGTACCTAGTCATGTTTCTCTATTAGTTTTACACGTGTTGAGAATGAAAAATAAAGACACCAAAACTCCTGCCTTTTTGTTGTTTGTTGTTTACCTACAGCAGCGTAGTAAATAAATCAGCACTATACTGAATGAAAAACAGCACGTTGGACGTTTAGAGGCTGTTTTTCTAGAAAAGATGGTTGGGTCATTATCAAGGTGTTCATTTCCAAGACTGAACTTTGCTCATTACTTAGGTTAATTTTCACTTAAAGTAGATTTTTGCTGTAAATCAATCAGTAGTCATTTAATAATAAAGGTAAGAGCATCCAACAGCATGGGGAAGAATAACAGTGGCTGTGGATTTAAATTGAAACCCTGAATGGCCTTAATTTCACACATGCACATCTTGTTTACGTTTTAACTCTTGCAAAAAACTTCTACCTGTGTCTTCAGTGTACAAATTAGAATTTAATATCCATGGACAAGCATATAACATTGGAATTGATTTCTTTTGGGATTAATAAAACACTTCATCTAGCTTCCATTTCACAACACCTAGAGAGAAAATGTCTCCCTCTTATGGTCACATAAAAGCAAAAGGAATAAAGATATTTTATAAGAAGGCTACTGGTCTCCTGGTCCGGTCTTTATATTGGCTATGATATTATATTGGCTGAAGATTGGTAGAGAGCATCATTAGACGCTCCATCTTTGTGGCATAGGCTGTGCAATCCTGTCAACCTTATTGCCACCACTGCTAACAGTATTGAGTGGGATCGGTCTATAGATCTACACTTAGATAGTAACAAATATTAAACGACTTTTATAGGGTGCTTGTGGTCAGCAATGCAGAAAAACCCACCTGTCTTTGTTCTGGACTGCATCCCTGTGTGCTACATAATGCAAGCCATTTTTTAAAATAACCCATTCACAAACAATATCACTTGTTCTGGAAAGATAATGCCCAAAACCACCGTTGATAAAAAAATGTCCTATTTTAGCTTTAAAATCATCAATCTCTCATGGGTGAGGTGATTTCTTCTTCAGAAATATTCCATATAATTGTATTTGGAGGATTTTCCAGGATGTACCTACCTCAAACTCCATTAAATTGTGACATGTGCAAACTTATATAAAATGAGGGAATCTAACAAGCACTTGTCAATGAAACATTCAACTATTGATTTCTAATGCTGTGATTATATTCCTTCAAGCATTTTGGCTTTTTTTTTTTTTTTTAGTGGCAAAGTAATATTCAACCTAGGAGCTTTGGTAAAAAGCAACTTGACTTTTTCAGTTCTTGAAGAAGTTTCACCTCTCAGCCAATCACCTTCAGTTCTAACTGACTGAGGGGGAGTCTAAGATGAGGCCTATATACTTACTCCCAGCTCACGTGACTTATGGCCTATTGGGGACCCAGGACTCAAATGCCCATATGGTGTGAAACCATCCTGTTTCCCACAAGCTACAGCAACACTGGTTGTGAAACTGCCAGCTTTCCCAACAACTTAAATGGCAGTGAAGCTGCCAGGTCAGGGGAAACTCAAGGTGTTAATGGAGATGAGAGATCTCAGCACTGCATTTTAGCTGTCGTAGATCCCCTTGCCAGCTACAATTCTACAATTCTACAATTTCGTTTTGCAGACACTTTTACCCAAAGCGACAGACATCTGAGAGCAAATACAACACAAGCAAGGATCTAGTCAGGAGAAAACAATCTGGATAAGTGCCATAGAACAAGTTCAAGTGTGATAGGGCGTTCATGCCAATAGCAGGCTGTGTGGGAGGTAATAGGAATTTTTTTTGTTTGTTTTCAGTCTGTCAAGTGCAAGGTGTTCAGTGAAGAGTTGGGTCTTTTGTCTCTTCTTAAAGACTGAGAGGGAATCAGCAGATTGAACAGAGTTTGGTAACTCGTATCACCATTGGGGAACCACAGAGGAGAAGAGTCTAGCTATCGATCTCAGGCCCTGTCGTGGTGGTTGTATCAGGCGCCTTTTGTTGGTCGAGCGTAGTGAGCAGGAGGAAGTGTAGACCTGAATGAGAGAGTTCAGGTTGGAGGGAGCTGTTCTTAGAGATGGCTGTTCCTGTTTGGCTACCTCCACTCTTCATGTCTCTCAAACCATCTAGAATGTGGACATTGCTGTCCCCAAAAGAGTGTCCCTCATCCTTCAGATGCTGGTGGGCTGCTGAGTTATGTCCTGATGAGCTGGTTGCCCTGTGTTGTGTTAAAAAGAGAAGTCCAATAGCTTGCTACTGAAGCGTCTAGGATGACTACACCCTGCATAACTAGGAATCTGCTCAGACAAAGTAACGCTTTATAACTCTAGCTATATGTGCTTTAATATAGGACCCTGCGAAGAGGCATTTTTTTGGAGGTCATTCAATTGTATAGATTTTCTGTAAATACTGTTGGTTCCCTGATAGATGGTTGGTTTTTATCTGATGATCAGATTGTTGTCCTTTCCTCGCTTCTTTAAACTGCTACTTCCCTTTCTCGAAAAATTTAAATGTTCACATTTTGCACTCAGCTCTTAGACCTGAGTGTCAGTTCAACAAAAAAGGAGACTCACTTCTTTTTTTCGGGGGTTATGCGTCAAAATTCAAGCCGATCCGAAACAGTCCGCGTGTGGACATGACGTCACCATTGTTTACTTTTACTTAAGCCACGCCCTCTGTTAGCAACTTGTGGCTAGCTCGCTACTGAGGCAGACACAGCACCGAGGGATCCTCCACAGACACCACCCTGACTCAAACACTGTCCTAGCGTACACAATTCTGTGAGTACACGTTAATTCCACGGGTCGTTGACGCCCACTGGGGGGATATTTCATTTAATGTCAGATTTGTGGCGATATTACCGGTCGGCGAAACGAACACGAGAAAGAGGAATGTTTCTTGCAAGCTAGCGTCAGGATTGATGCTAGCTTTTGTTGTAGCTACCGTTAACGCTACCCGCAAGGTTGGTCAAAAACTGTTTTCGTGTCTAAGTAGCTTAGGTCATTAAATACCACGAATAGACTCGGCTTAGTTTATCTGCGGAGTTAATATATCAGACTTTGAAACCTTCTATTTTCTCTGGTTATGTGGCTTATTCAAAGCTAAAGGACCTCAACGGGAAGCTTAGACTGCAATGGTTGCTGTTAACGGATATCGATTCCTTTCACATCGCGTTCAGGCAACTTCATCACGTCGCCGCAATTAACAAAATTAAGGTTACATCGGTTATTGTTTCATTCACAAATGAAAGTGTTGGATGTTGGTCGCAGATTGTACAGATGCGGATGTGTGCTGCGTGGTGATGGCACATTATGAACCCAGTTTCCTCAACGTGGCCCTGAAGCCGAGCATAACAGATTATAACTTTCTACATTATTAAATCTGACTTCCGGCGATCAGCTGGTCGACCCATTGCTTTTGAGTGATTGCACGTAAGATGACAGCAAGGCAGACTGGTTTAGTTAGTGTGTGACTTACTAAATTATTAACTAGCTCAGGCAAGTTGTAATAATAAGTAGCACTAAATAATTTCTTGAAAATTTAGGTAACTGTAAGCAATTTATTGCTGTTGATCTAACTCAGTAAAACTTAATAACTTCACTGGTATCCCTCCTTGTAGTCCAATTGATTTAAAGAGTTTTTTGTGTGTGTGTGTGCTGTAATCAAGGATTTTATGATTCAAACTTCATCGATAACTATTTTAATGATTCCAAATAAAAGCTTGTGTGAAACCAGTGGTCAAAAATATATTCATGGGTGTAGTTTGCTCCTTCTTTAGGAAAGTCCCTGTTGCAGTGTTTCCTTTACATTTTCTTACAGTGGTGGTGCCCATTACTGGAAAGCTGCCCCTGTGGCAAGAACAGTAAAAAATTCATTATGTAGTTATTACTCAGCTCATCCTCAAAAAATGATTGTGCTGCAGCAACACAGCGTGATAAAATCTGTTTTGTTGTATGAATAATGAAATTGATAAGATATTGACACAGTATTCAGCCTGCATTTTTCCAACTAAAGTCACCCCCAACCTTCTAAAAATGTCAACAGGAAAACTGCCCTTTGTCTTCAGAACTAATCCTGATCCTGAAAGCAAAAGTAAACAGCAGAGACTTTAAGCACAGCTGCCTGTTTTTCTCAGACATGTTTTTAGGGTTACATGGCAGGAATTACCTAATTTTTAACCACCAACTTGTCTAAGAATGACACACCACTTGAGCTAGACATAACTTACCATTAGTCCATTCGTCATTTTCCCGTTTTCGTCTGATTTAGTTGGTTTTCGGTGAACTGTTGCTCATCTTTTGTTCATGACTTTATGAGTGTATGTTGTGTAATCAAATCATCTGTCAGACGTTGCCTAAATGTTGACATTGACTCTCAGCTGGGCTTAACTGATTGGTTTGATTAACAGACTAATTTCAATATGGGATTTTGTGTAATGCTGAAAATAATGACATTCTCCTTGAGGCTATGTGGTCTGTTTCATTTCAGGCTTTCTGTGTAGCTTTGCATCTGCTTATATTATTTGTTTGCCTACTTTCTTTACCTTTGTTTATGCTGCTTAGCTTTTGACTCAAACACTCCCAAGCTGTATACATAAAAGCCTACTTGTGCATTGTACTACCTGCCACAGCGGTTTATCGCACCACCTGGTTAATGGTAAATTGTTCCAGAAGGAAGATATGTTTGCACATAAACACAGACCCAGGGCCCCTGTGTTTACAGTAGTCATGGCAGCACTCGGTTATTCAACAAATAGACCTAACATCTTCCTCCCTCACTTGTGGAAGAGCATGTTTGTATTGGTGGGTAGGGCTGTAACACTGTAGTTCTTAACTGTTAGTGCTGTAGCTTTACACGCGACACAAGTTGAGTTTCCTTAACGTGGTGATTTTAGAGGCTATTGAACACTGTTAAGTAAGTCTAAAAAAAACTTATGACCTAGTGATGTAATAGTCTTGTCAAAAGCATTTATTGTTCTGCTTGTCTGCTTCCTAAATTTAGTCATTTTGTATTGACTTATCAAGCTGTTTTCTTTTACGTTCATGTCCTGTTTCAGGTTAGTGAAGTCCAGATGCATGAGTCTCGGTCAGAACCAACAAGCCACACCATTCAAGCCAGTCAGACAGAGAACGGGAATCACACTGAGAATGAGAGTCGACTGAGGAGTAGCCAGACTCCTCCTCCAGAGGCACCCAGGGTCAGTCATTCTCAGCTGTATCTGTTCACGCACATCACAATTCTATTTTAAAAGCACATTAATATGTATGCTAACATAATACTATATGTGTAACCGTGTCTGTCTTCCTATAATTCCAAATAATACAACATAATTACGAAGCTGTACACATGCAGGATAGAAATAATATTTTTTTTGTGTCTTATATGATTGTAAATGCAGTATTTATGCATTTTAGACTGTTTGTCCTTGCAGTTTTGGAAATTGTAATCCGCATTCTTTTTTGTTGTTTGGCATTTTAGAGACAACATTGCCAATTTGTTGCTTGTGAAAATAACCTGTTCAACCTTTTTTTTAAGTTTAGGTTATTTAACTGTACTAGGGGTTAATTGTATTTTCATATTGCATATGCTGATGTTATCATTAGAAGAATGTGCTCAAAACAGATTATAGCAAATAAGCAGTGAAGCTGAAAGCAAAGAAAGAAATCTAGGACAGCACAGTCTTCAATCCAGTTCATATAATTTTTAATTTCCGAAATTCCTCTCAAGACTGTCAGACTCACAATCGCAAAGATCTGTTATTATTCTTTGTTATATATAGTAAATGTAAATCTTTGCGTTGTGGTTTGTTGGCTGGCTTAAGTATGCCATCTGAAGATGACCATTTTGGCATGAGAAAACCGTGATGATAAAAAAATAAGCGGCAGATGATGAGATAATGAAATATTAGTTGAAGCCCTGAAGTGAGAGTTGCTGTGTGCTGGTACGCTTTCATTTGTATTTTTTTTCTGCTGAGTTTAGTTACTCTGTTGCAACACCGTTCAGCCGTATGGAGGCATGTGTGAATGTTTGTCCTCAATGCCACAAATATGTGTTGCAACTGATGCATATGCCCTTTTTTTTCTTTTTTTTTAACTGAAGTGTGAATAGTAATTCTGCAGCTGAATTTTGAATACAGCTTGCATCCAAACACCACACATTCTCATGTCGAGCACTTAACAGATATGTGCCGATATGGGACGTGGTGCACACAGCTAACATGAGAATGTGAGGTGCTTTACTGTTTTGTCTTTAACATTTACAAGTATCCCCGAACCTCTCACTTTGCTTGCCTCAGTTCTTTCAAACTGAACTGTTTTATATTTTTTTGCTGAAGGGGAAGCACAGAGATGGGGGGGAGGTGGTGCTGAGGTTTAGAAGGGGAGGGAGAGCTCAACTCCTGCTGGGCGGAGGGATCAGTGTTGTGTTGTTGGTGTTGTTTATGCTCGCATCATGTAGGTTAGCGAGGCTGTGCAAGATTGTCAGGCAGAACGATTTTGCTGAGAAGTGTTTGTCTTTTCCAGTGCCCAGCCAGACTTGTCAATGGAGACTATCAGGTTTGTCCTACTTATTCTCTATTTGTTCTGTGATGTTATAGTAGGAGGCTATTTTTAAATATTTTGCTTGGTGAAATGTTGTGTGCATGAAAGTGATGTCACATGTTTGTGGTGGTGTAATTTAATGTTTTTTAGGTTTCATGTCGTTAAACCCGACTTCATTTGGGTTTCTTGCTAAGTGCATGTGTTTTTCCAAATGTCACTCTTTGTTCCGCCACACCCATCGGAGCGTATTAGTAAGAATCAAATCTCATAAGGGGAGGCATATTGTGTTTGTTTTTCTGCAAGTTTTCAACATTTCTATTTGCTGTCAGTCATCTCAGAGTTCACAAGACCAGTCTTGCGGGAACAGATCTGTGTTTACACTCAGTTGCTCACTGGTATGACTTTCAACAATAACAACAACAGAAGATGTTTGGACTTGCTGGCTGCCATAGCAACAGGGATTAGGCAAAGGCTGTTGTTGTGTTGATGGTGTCCACAGAAAAATAGAGGGGCCAACTGGCTCTGTCTGTGGGATAGACCTGTTTTCATTGCTTTGGTGGCCACCTCTGCAGCATTGAATTTCATAAGAAAGGACAAACTAGGAGGCAGTCATCTGTTATTGTTAGCCCAAAGCCTGTGTGAAATTCACTGTCAGTTTGTTTACCCGATTCAAAACAGACTCTGCCTTGGAGAGAAATGTTTGTTTGTGGTTCAGACCTTAATTAAAATACGAATCTCAAGTTCTGTTTTCGTAAACAGGCTCTGTATGCTTTTTTATTCATTATTTATATCTCTGTGCAATTTTGATTACTCTGTTTATGTTTACTGTAAACATCCCTTGAGCTGCGAGGCTTGACAGTGAGGGGGAGGGTGTGGTAATTTGCTGCATGCCTAGCAGAGGATGTTGTTGTTTTTGTGGGACTGGTTGTTGTTGTTTTGATGGAGTTCTAATTCCCCTAAGCCATCCAGTGTTGTTGTTGTTGTTGTTGTTGTTTGGTTCATTTTTAGCTGAAATAGCAGTTGAGGCAGCTCAGCTTGCAAGACTGACCAGCCAAGTGGGAATAGGAAATAATGAGTGCTGTAAGTAATTGTAAGTTATTTTCAGAATTTGAGCAAGAGGCTCAGGAGCTACTAGGATTAGTCAATGAACTGATTAGTTGGTTGATAGAAAATGAATTAAATGCATTTATTTGATTGTCAATTAATCATTTCAATCATTTTAAACCGACAATGCTGGTTATTTGCTGGTTTCTGCTTCTCAACTGTGACTATTTGATGCTTTTCTTTATCAAAGATTATAGCAAACCGAACATCTTTTCCCTTTGGAGTGTTGCACATGGGAGGCATGTTAAAATGTCTACTTGAGCTGTAGGGGACTAACAACCTTTCTCAGTATTTTCTTACATTTTTAGACAAAACACTAAGTCGTTCATAGAGAACATACTGGAGAATAATGGCTAGTGTAAACAGTTCTTAGTTGCAGCTCTACGCAGGAGTAGGTTTGACAGTTTGACATCACATGTGTGTGCATTGCACTCCATACTCAGTTATTGATTATATGCTGGTGTCTACAGTACACTCAGTACTTTTTTATGAAGTGGGTTACAGAGAAGAATAAAAGAAAATCTGATAATATCTTGACATACACAGCTATAACCTTATTACAGCAAATATTCCACACAGCAAATACATTAATGATCGACCGTAATGTTTTTTTCTGTTTTTTCTGGGCCAGTACCAGTTAAGTAAAGTTAAACACAAAACACTGCTGAAACACTTTTATTTTTTTATACTTTACATATTAAAAGGGGACTTTTCAACATTAAGCTCTAAATTGTAAAGTTAAATTCATTCAGTTTATTATGATTCATTTATTTTATTTATTTTTTTAGTACCGAAAATCCCCTTCCAGGCCAATAAACAGTCAATCCCTAAGATATATGGCTGCTTTCATTCAATTATTATTTAAAATATGTATTCCTTCTGTAATCTACCTTCTCCTCTACTAACTACAACATTGTTCAAACAAAGCTGGCAACTATTTAGTTTATATATTAAGCTTGTCAGTAAAACGTAGGACATTGTGCTTTGAAAAGCTTTATGTTGCCTCACATCAGAGCACTTTCACTGGCGGTGCACTTCACAGAGGGAACAGACTCTGCAGTCAGAGTGCACACAAGTTCTTCTGTGTGTGTGCACGTGTGTTTAAATTACACAAATAACCTACTCTTCAGCTGTGAAAACCCCTCTGGACTTGTTTATTTCAATGTCAGTTTTGGTCGAACTTCACTTAACTATATTGGATCCAAGGATGCACCACTACTAGCAACTACCAAATCACAACTTGTGTCATCTCAGGGTGCTGAATGTAGTAAGGTCAGGAACATACAATGTTAGAGAAAAATCTGACAGTTTCCCATTGAGCAAGCGCTTGGCTGACAGTGAGGAGGAAGAAACCACAGATACAACCAGAATCAGAAAAAAATGGCCATCTGCCTCGACCGTTTGGGGTGAGAGGAGAGCGGTGAGAGAAAAGATGAGAGAAACAATAAACAATATAACAGTAATAACACTGGGCAGGTTGGTGAGGCCAGTAACCGCAAGTAATATCTGCTGTGCTTCTGTCAGTAAAAAAAAAAAAAAAAAAATCCTGTATAAAGCTTTTCTCTTGCTCCTGTGATGTTGTTAAAATCCTCAGTACAAGCGTATACATACAGAATAGGACCAAGAAAGGCAGATACTCAAACAGAAATGTAGTTGTTTCTTGTAATCCCCGAGTAGAGACACCTTTTCTTTAGTTTGCATTGTAAGCTAGAACTGCATCGTTTCAGCATCAACATCACAATGTGCATGTGTAGAATAGTCCCATTGTAGGAAGCGTGATGTAATGTGAGGCAAATTAATTCAAGCACATCATGCTATAACTTTTTTTATTGCCTGCCTGATGCAAAAAAAACAAATGGATGCAGTTCTCATTTTCCATGATTAATCCAGTCAAATTATCAGAAATAGCAATCAGATAGAACATGTTTTTTATTAACTTTATTGGGAGACATGGAGTTTGTTGACATACAGGCTTCACATGTGCACACCAGAATAAGAAAGAAACAGGAGAAGCAAGATTTGGTTTGCCACAATTGATGGGTGCGATGGTCAACTGTGATATCGATTCAAATGTGTGCTTTGCTCATAGAGAACCAGGTACAGTTTTAATTTCTCGTGTAGGAGCTATTTTAAATCTGAAGAATTATATTTCAAGTGTTATTTTAGTCCTAGGGCTGCAAGGTGGCTCGGTGGTTAGCACCTTTGCCTCACAACAAGAAGGTCGCCAGTTCACGTCCCAGTAAAGACACCGGGATCTTTCTGTGTGGAGTTTGCATGTTCTCCCCGTGCAGTGTGGGTTCTCTCCAGGTTCTCCGGCTTCCTCCCACACAGTCCAAAAACATGCTGAGGTTAATTGGTGATTCTAAATTGTCCGTAGGTGTGAATGTGAGTGTGCTTGGTTGTCTGTCTCTGAGTGTAGCCCTGTGATGGACTGGTGACCTGTCCAGGGTGTCCCCTGCCTTCACCCTAAGTCAGCTGGGATAGGGTCCAGCCCGCTGTGACCCTAGTGAGGATTAAGCGGTGTATAGATAATGGATGGATGGATTTTAGTCCTACGATTTGTGCATTAGCAAGAATGTAGCACAGCTGTACACTGTTTATATAAGTTTTTAAAAAGTGACGTAAAAATATTTTGTCCCTAAAATAAATAAATAATTTTGATAAACAGGCTATTCTGTATTCTATTTTCGCAGAAGCATTCTGGATGTTGTTCCTTCCTATTTGTCTTGTCTTTTAAAAAGAAAACATAGAAGTCACAATCTACAATCTATGGATACTCTGCAATTTGTTGTTCCCAAAGTATGATCTGAGCAGGGCAAGAAAGCATTTAGGTTTTCTGTACCTAATGCTTGGAATAAATTGCAATCTCAAAATCAACTTCAAGCTGTTGTTACACTGAATGAGTTTAAAGTTCGGGTGAAATCCTTACAGTCTACCTTATCTGTGTGCAAGTGTTGTATGAGAGCAAGTTTTAATGTTGTTACATTTTATCTGCTGTTTATTGTTTTTAATGTGACTATGCTGCGGCCCTCTTGGCCAGATCTCCCTTGTGAAGGAGATCTCTGGTCTCAGGCTGACTAACCTTTTAAAATAAATGCTAAATAAATAAATAAATATTCCTGATATTAGTATTGGTCAGAATAGTCATGATGAGAATCTTAGCCATGATTGTGCAGCCCTGTGGAAATAAGAAGCAACAAGACAAATTTGTTTGACCATTTAAATCAGCACCACAAAGCTCTGTAAGTGAAATGCAAAGCCAAATCTTAAAGCCAACCAAACCAAATAACTGTTTTGGTTCCCTTTGCCAGTGTTGCACTACATCAGAAAGGTTCACACTAAAAAAAATAAAATTGCATGCTATTGTTTAAAATGATTGATGTTCTGTTTCTATTTTCTGCATCACACTGCACAATCAACCCAATCATTCTAGATGATTCTTTCACAAATTCTGCTTCTTGCTTTCATATCTTAACATACATTGTGGAAACAAACAAACATCATAATGCCATTTTTTTCAGTATCATACAACACTAACATAGGTGCACTGATGGTCTGCACCAGGAAACAATACAGATAGATGTGATGAAAGTTGCATGTATTTACAACCCAAACAGCCCATTTACTGTCTGTTATGTATTTGTTGTTTGCCACTGCAGCGTTTAAGCCCATTAAGTTTTCTCTTTGGTGAGTCTTGTCACGGACTTGACTTCAAGAGTGTTTTGTTGTAGAGATTTTCCACTCACTCTTTTTTTGTTGTTGTTGTTGTTTTTCATGTAATAAAGATTCCAGTGTCATTGTCGATGATGACCCCACCAGCAGAGGCTCCTCAGCAGCTGCAGCAGACACCACAGCAGCAGATCCTCAGCCCTCAGCAGCTCCAAGCCCTTCTCCAGCAGCAGAAAGCACTCATGTTACACCAGGTAATTCATTTTTAGTGTTGTTTTGTTCTTCTTGTTCCACATTAGTCACAACCTGTTTATTTGCTTCACTCTAATTATATCAACTCATCTGCAGCAACAAATTCAAGAGGTCTTCAAGAATCAGCAAGAGCAGCTAAATATGCAGCTGCTGCACCAGAAGAACGCTGGGATTGTTAGTCAAGAGGTATGCTTTTTTCATTAAGACTTCTTTTTATGAGCTCATGAATATTTGATCACTGTAGAAATATTTAGAATTCAACAAAGACATCCATCCATCCATTTTAAGACAATCAATACTAATTTCAAGTGTTTGCTCTTTGGAGTGTGGGAATAATGCAGTAAATGACACAAGTGTGAGCAACAGATGGGGATTATATTGATGGTGTTTAATAATAGGGGCTTTAGGAAAAAGCAGCTGGACTTCTCTTTTAGGTTCTTGAAGACATTTCATCTGTCATTCAGGCTTTCTCAGTTGGGAGTTTCAGGTGTGTAGAGACACCCCCGGCTCAAGAGGCTAATGGCCCATTAACAACCCAAGACTCTTGTGGTTCGCGGTTAGGAATGGTTGGGAAGCTGCCAAGTCAGGGGCGGCTCCAGATGTTAATGGTCGTGAAACTTTCTGGGGAGAGATCTCAGCACTCCATTATAATCACTTGATAATTGGTATCATAGACCCCCTACTCTGATTCTAGATCTCTGTTTCAGTTTAAAATAGATGGCTTCCTTCACCCAGATGATTAGATGTCACCTCACTTTTCACATGTGTACCTACATGGAGGCAGTCGACACTGTCAGAAAAAGACTGCTGCAAGACAGCTCTTTAAACAACAAAATCAGCTTCACTCCCAGCCAGACATGTGCCCTGCTGGACCTCTGCCGGACTCCCACATATTTCAAATATAATAAGGATTGCTACAGACAAAAGCTCGGCTGCGCCATGGGCTCTGCAGTGTCACCCTTTGTACCCAATCTCTCCATGGACGAGGCAGAAAGCAGAGCACTGGGTTCTTTCAAGGGAACAGCTCCCCGCCACTAGTTTGGATATGTGGACGACACCTGGGTCAGAATCAAAGTTCAAGAAGTAAAGGCCTTCATGGAACAAGTTGGTGAACAGCAACATCAATTTTACATGGGAGCATGTCAGGGAAAACAAACAGGCTTTTTTGGACTGTGTCAAGCCCCTTGAGGAGGATGGAAGCTTCGGTGCTGTATATGTAATCCAATGCAGCGAGGAGTGCACAAACTGGAATATAGGGGAGACGAAACCACATCTCCACAAACACCCGGCTTAACACAGGAGAGACTGCACAGTTCACCTGCAGAAATACAAAAAGACGAGAAGTCCAGTTGCTTTTTTTTTTTTTTACTGCACCTGCTTGAATCACCATGTCTTGTATGACTGAGAATCTACACAGACCAGAAATTTATCACAATTTCCACATAGTTTAAAAGTGTGCTGTACATAGTTTTGCCCATTAAAATACAAACTGTAGGTAGTATATGAATGAAGAACATTGTAATAACAGGATGGCTAAGAATTTAACTGATGACTGATGTTCTGTCATTCCGTCTGTCACAGCTGACAGCCCAGCAGATTGCCATCCAGCAGCAGCTCCTTCAGGTGCAACAGCAGCATCTCCTAAACCTGCAGAGACAAGGCCTGCTGTCTGTCCTCCCCACCAGCCCCACTGCAGCCCCAGGTATGTGTCATTACAGTCCTTACTAGGTGTTGTTGTGTTTATGTATACACTGGAAAGTTTCCAATACTGAACCTTGTATGTGTTTAATTAAATTGTGTCCTAAAAAGGAGATTTTGAATCGATGATCTTCAGCTAATTTGGTTGACAAACTGCACAAATGTAATAACAGCCGGCTATATTACATAGCAGTTTATCTATTATGTATATGTGCTATTTTAGGCTGTGATAATGGTAGCATCCTGTCTGCTGCTGGAGAATCCAGAGAGTCTTCCAGTCAACAATCTACCACCAATGGCCACCAAACTCTTCTCAAGAGGAAAGAAAGGTGCGTTCCACTGTCTTGTTCAAACCGTTGTGTAGTTTTGTTTATATCAAGCTTTTATGTTGCTTAATCTGATACTCGCATGTTGACATTTGTGTTTTTTTTGCAGTGGATCACTGGATGAAAACACACAGAATAGCCATCCTCTATATGGGAATGGTATGTGTAAATGGCCTGGCTGTGAGACTGTCTTTGGAGACTTTCAGGCATTTCTCAAGTGAGTGGTGAAACCTCGCATACCTCTAAAGCTGGAATGATGCCTATTCACATCTATCAGCATGTGCACTCGCACAGATATAACAAACTTAAAGGAAACACCCTTGCATGTATTTTCTGATTTGGTCAGGAGTTATAAATGTCAAATTTAATTGGAGCTTCAAATTGTTATTAAAATAATGACTTAAAATGTTATTTGCCCTTAGCTATTGGGTATTTACTATTTCTTTCGTTGTGAACTTAGTTTTTTAAGTAGTAAAAGTACATAATGACTCTGGAAGCATTTGAGCATTTTTTGTACTTCTGTTTGTGCAACACATGGTTTCCTCAAAGCATGCCCTGATTCTAAATGTATTTGTTGGCAGACATTTAAACAGTGAACATACACTGGATGACAAGAGCACAGCACAGTGTCGTGTGCAGATGCAAGTGGTTCAGCAGCTGGAACTGCAGGTACACATCTGATTTATTTTCTTTTATCTGACCCTTTCATATCTATCTTACAACAATAAGGACAACTCATCTTTGATTTACAAACTGTTTATTTATTATAACTCCACCATTGCTTGGTAGAGTGATGTGTCTGGCCTTTTTTTTTTTTTAAACTAACTTGTGTGAATGCCTAAATATTGGCAATTGCGGTATGTTTTTACACCCGGACTAGAAGCAGAAGTCATGTCTTAAGATAATTATAGACCTCAGGATGCCAGAAATGTAGTTCCCATACTGAATGTCGTTTGGTCATGTAACTCAAGCTGTGAATTCACCAACCCCCCCAACTTCTGTTTTGATCTTCCATCCAATGCAGCTGAAGAAGGACAAAGAGCGACTCCAAGCCATGATGGCTCATCTTAAGTCCTCTGAACCCAAACCTGCAGCACAGCCTGTAAGTACCTGCCACAGCTGCTTCCTTCAATTATAATAAGTATTGTTTTGCCTGTAGTTACACTGACATTTTGCTGACTTAATTGCTTTGTTTTGTTTTTGTTTTGTTTTTCAGGTGAATCTGGTATCTAATGTGTCTTTCTCCCAGGCAACATTACCCAAAGGCCTTCCTCCGATGAGCCTCTCTCAGAGCGCCACAGCACCGTCCACACCCTTGACGCCGCTCTCCGAATCCCCCTCGGTCCTCACTCCCAATAGCATGTTCACTGGAACCCCTGTGCGGAGGCGATATAGCCGCTCCGTGAGCCAAGGTAACCGCGAAAACATGAATTACAACTTCTAATAGAATTTTTTACAGCTGGTTTATCCTAAAACATGCCTCTGCTTAGATTCACATAACTCAAACCCCCACAGGGACACAGGGGAGGGGTTTCATTTTTGTTTATCATTATTTACATTTGATTATTTTTGTGTATTTGTTTTGTTTTTGAGAACGACATACATTTCTTCTTTGTTTCCTATTCATTGTGTGTTGATAAATATTGCTGGTTTGTCTTTCCGCAGATATAATTGATAATAAGGAGTTCTACTTGAGCACAGAAGTCAGACCCCCGTTTACATATGCCTCTCTCATCAGACAGGTAACGTGTACTCACTTGATACTTAAATTACACAGCTGCTGAAATATTAAAGTGCTGTTTAGGAATAATTTTGCACTTTTTCTTTCCATACCAACATGAAACAAATGTATATATTTGTTTTATATTGTTGCAGCATCTCTTACACACTTTGTCTCTTTCAGGCTATATTTGAATCACCTCGCAATCAGCTGACATTAAATGAAATCTACAACTGGTTCACAAGAAACTTTGCATATTTCAGGCGCAATGCAGCTACTTGGAAGGTACGAACACTATTATTTGATAAGGAAACAGGAAAACTATGGAAACGTGGTTGTAATTCAGTTGTCATATAACTGCATGAGTGCTGATTCAGTATTACAGATGTACAGGTGCTGATTTTTGCTTTGCTTAAATTTTCCAGAATGCAGTCAGACATAATCTCAGTCTCCATAAATGCTTTGTACGTTTGGAGAACGTGAAGGGAGCTGTGTGGACGGTAGATGAGATCGAGTTTCACAGAAGGCGGCCCCAGAAAACTGCTGGTAATGGGTATGTATACCTTGGCCGTGAAGCCAAAAGTCTGTGTGCTTTCAGATATTAGCAGAAGTTAGTTGCCTGACTTTGCCAAAGAACTTGACCTTGTGACTCCAGCTCAGAAGTACAAACAATGTTTACTGTAAACAGGTCTCAGAGTTTCAAAGGCTAGAAGTGTGGTATGATAATAATGAAAAATTGAGATGTTTGTACAAGGGAATTCATTCATTTAACCTTTATTTATACACAGTGGTCCAATTACAGGTATTCAAGCATTAAAGGTTAAAGGACAAACAAGGGCATCCAGACAGCTTTGAATACAATATCAGAGAAAGCACTACTTAGCATTTTACAGTCCATTTAACTGAGATGTAACCGGCGCAGCCACGTGAATAGTCACGGGTGAAAGCTGCACAGTACATCCTCAGATCCTACTTTGCAAATTCAGTGTTTTTGTGAAGCAGACGAAGTGCCACACCTGTTGTCGTTCACACAAGCCAAACTTGGGACTTTCACAACTTCTCTTGATAAACCACTATCAGCAATTCATCAAAACTGTCATGTGGTGCTTTTGTTCCTGATTTGTCATGTCGTACAGCGATATGACTCACACTCTTAGGTTGTGGAGATTTCATTAAACAAACAGACCTGGAATCCCAGTGTGTATTTTGGCAGAACTCACAGTTCCAGCGAATTGAAGGAAATGCTCATTAAGCATTGCCTCCCTCTGTTACTGTTGCTATGTCAGTCACAAAGAAAAATATTTACTAGGAGGCCTAAACCTGCGTGCTTGATTTGATGCTATCTTACTAGCTTCCCAGGAGTCGCTCAACTGTTAGCCAGACATGCTAAAATAGTTACTTAAACTTTAGCTTAGCTTAGCTTAGCTTAGGCTTTTCAAGTGTTGATAGTAAATAAAGCATAGCTTCTTGTATTTGTGTGCTTCCAGATCTCTGCTGAAGAACTCTCAGAACCGTCAAAGCTTCGCTGGGTCTGCTCTTCAGGTAAGTCTAACATTTCAAGATCCGTTTCTGCATATTATATCGCAAATAAAAAAGATGTGAAGTTGTGGGCAGACAAACCTGAAATGTAGCAACGTGTAACCCCAAGTGCAGTATTATAAAAAGGTTGCGTTTACATGTGTTAATAAAGTATTTTAAATGTAAAACATGAGACTATTACTTTTTCCAGAGCGGCGGTCTCGAAGGCAACTCTTTCTACAACCCAGCTTCTATGGGCAGCATCCCATTGCACTCCTTGCCTCATATTCTCCAGGAACAGATGAATGGAGCCCTTGCTAATGGATCTGGATACCAAAGTGACAGCAGTGCAACACAGTCCCCTCCGCAAGCTTTGTGAGTGTCCCCGTTTTCCCCCAGATAATGACGCAGCTGTTACTTAATCACTGAATCAAATTCTGATTACGCGTTGTTTTCTTTGTGTGTGTTTATCTAAAAAGCATTAAAGAAGAGCAGGAGGACGAGGAGATATGTGAAAACTATCCCTATGAATCTCCGGAGAGCACAGACGAGCACGGCCACAGCCCAGAGATGAACCAAGATGAAGACCACGGCAGCCCGGAGAGGCCCAACCTTCATCTTGATCGTGTGCCTTCTCTCTGACTATGAGGTCCAAGTTCTCTACTGCAAGGCCACCTCACTCACAGCCTGTGTGACTTTGTACTCCAAAAAAAAAAGAAAAAAAAAACAGCTTCATCTACGTAACCAAACACTCAATTCTTGGGATTTTTATTTTATTTTATTTTATTTTTTTGGTATTTATCAGCATTTCTTATTTGTTGTTTTCAATTTAGCTCTGAGTTCTTTTTGTACAGTTGAATGAAATCACAAAAAAAAAAATACATTTGTGAAGCTGTCAGTTTGTGATTTTTCTTATTTTATATATCTCTACACAAAGGACCATGATGAGCAGAGAAGCCAAAGGAAAGGGAACATTGATAGTTAGCACTTCGTAATGAACGTCTCCCCTCTTTGTAGCTGCTTTTTGCTGCGCTGGGGGCCACACTACCTGATTATTATTTTAGTAGTCATAATATATAAAGATTTGTAGAGAAAGGAAAAAACAAATGTTGCTTTAAAAATGAAAATGTTCACTGCCAACATGATCTGATATATTTGTATTTAAAGTATAATCAATTGATCAAAAGGATACGTAGCTTCTTTATAATTGTTGGTCTGTTTCACCCCTTTCATGAACATTGCTGAATTTTGCTCGAACTGAGCTTGTAAAAGTAGATACTATAGATTTACCATTATTGTAAACCAATACATCTCTACAAAGAATAAATTCCTCATGATATATGTGAATACTGTATGTGTCTTTAATTTTGTCTTGGTTGTCGTGTTGGTACGCATTTGTCATAGTTTCACATGATGAAATTACAGCCAGGTGCTGACTATTACCTGCTAACAGTTTTCTCATTCAACTTTTTAGTGTGAGGTAATGTGTGGCAAACTTCCTCCTTGTAATAATATACGTCTATTTTACAATCATAAACTGTCAGCAGGTGTCATTTACGAAACCAATCTAATGTGAGGAACAGTGTTTGAGGGAAGATAATGTTGCATAAAAGATCATCTTATTTTAGTCTTGTCTGTCATTATTTGTTAAACTGACGTGTTTGGAAAGCAGCTTGACTTTCCATCAGTATGAGCACTGGAACTGAATAGATCTTTTGTGCAATATGTCTTCGCAGATTTGTAGCCCGTGCTTCGTGATTGGCAGGTATTAATAGACGTGGAGTGCGCTCACGCTGTGGGGTGTGTGCAGGATGATATGATGTGCTGGAGCTCTAGCACAGAGGGGGATGCAGATACTACAGATTCACTGTCAGATTACAGACAGATAATTATTCAGCAGATTTCATTAAGAAGCACGCTGGGAGTGACTAAATGTTGTTGCGTTGTTATATAAAGTCTGCCAAGTAAACACTTTTCTATCAAACGCGGCATGTGAAGGGTAATCGGTAAGTGCCTGAAGCCTTTACACAAACAGTAAATGATCAGGACTGTGTGGAGTGAAAGAAACTTCATGAGTCTGATGGTAGGTTGTTTATGTTAAACAAAAATGCCACTCATCTGGTATCAGTTCAGACTTTCCCTTTTGTTACTGACACTCGTCCTCAAATGTATTCATACCCTTCCATTAAAGAAAGACAAAATTCACAATAGTCACTCAAATAACTAGAAACTGAAAAAAAATAATAAATAAAAAAATTCTAAATTAGAATTTAGTGAAATAAGACATTGCTTTGAATTGTGGTTGAAAAGAATAATTACAACAAAAAAATAAAAAACTCTCCCAGACAAATTAGAGCTCTGATGAGCAGTTGGCCAAAATCAAAATACCTGTCACCAGGTGCAGAAGTCTGATTGAGAGTTACAGAAAACACTTGATTGCAGTGATTGGCTCAAAGGGTTGTTCAATTAAATATTAGTTTATGGGTCCCATCAAGCTTGATTTTGTTTTTTTATTATTACTTTCTTTTAATATTTCTGTTGAACCACAATTCAAAAGCATTGTCAGGATTTCCGTGATTTTTTAAAATTTATTATTACTTTTGTCAATTTCAGCTTATATCAGTGACAGCTGTTTTTTTCCTTCTGTGATGGGAGGGTATGAATAAATTTGAGGATGACTGTAATTGTTAATCATCTTCTGCTATAGGAAGAAGTCAGAGCATGTAGTTTCCTGGACAGTGTTCACCTCCATCGTGCTCACCGAGCAAGCAAACAAGCTCATTTATATAAAACCTGATCATGCACAAAAGTAATTCAAAGTTCTTTACTTTTAAAACATGTAAAGATTAAATATAAAATACAGTAAAGTTAAGTGAAATATATATGAAAAAAAACCAAAAACAGTCCAGATGAATTAACTAAAGTAAATAAAAACTATATAGAATAATTAAAACAGGATAAAAACAATATATAAGAAAAAAAAAAACATATCAAAGATAAAGTCCAAAAGTGCAGAAAAGTTCAATAAAAGAATCGGCACTTGAGACCAATTTATAAAATAAAACTGATTATTTAAAATCAGTGGAGTAAACTGTCCAAAAAAGTCATTCACGGTGTAAAAACACTCTGGATCCCTGGAATAACACACCGCTCTGGGGTCATACAGGAGATGAAGAACTTAAAAGCACCTTAATTAACTCCAAACCACTGAAGCGTTTTGTTGTCATCGATAAAGCTGTCAGTCAGCCCTATGGTTCCCAGGTTACTCTGTACTTTGAAGTCGTTCATAGCCTTGGAGGTGGGGTTTGTCTGGATGTGGTGGGCCAGACATCGGCTGCTGTTCGTGCTTTGATAATAGAAAATGAACTGGCTGACACCAGAATGGTGCTGCTGTGGGTGGTAATTTTGTTGGTGCTCTTTGGTGTGAGATGTGCACAGAAGAAAACAACTTGTGAGAACAAGATCCTGTTTGCACACAAAACAATATTTATGTGTTATGTGCATTTGTGTGTATCTTCACTTGCACAAGACGTCAGCTCAGTGGCGTGGTGGTTAGAGCTGCCACCTCACAGCCAGAGAGCTCTGGGTTCAATCCAGGCTGGGGGCCTTTCTGCATGGATTTGCTCTGGATGTGTTCTGTAGTCTGCTGGCATGCATTGTAGCTAAATGGGTGGTTCTAAACTGGCTGTGAGCCTGCTGTTGTTACTTTGTGTTAGCACTGCGGTAGATTAGCAACCTGTCCAGGGTGCACTCCACCTCTCACCAGTGGGCTCCTGCCTCCTGCAATAAAGCAGGTCTAGCTAATGGATGGAAGATGTCGACTCCTTCAAAGCCTCCTGGGAAGAATCAGGACTGTATAGTACTTGAGAAACTAGGGGCTCAAGTGGTAGGTTGTTCACTTGGCTCCATGTCTGATTAGGCTGAATACTGCTTGGATTAAGATGTGCTTAGTCATAACTAGAACGGAGGGAATAAAGCACCAGTATTAAACTTGTGTAAGATACTGGAGCTGTAAATTATTAAAATAAATAAAAACTAGTGATGCACGATATTAAAATTTCTGGCCAATACCGATATCTGATATTAAGATTTCTGATATCGCCGATACCCGATATTACCGATGTCGATATTCAGCTTTTGTTCACATCAAAAAATGAGGACAAGTAAGCACTGTGAGAACATGAAAACTATTCATAAGAAGTCCATACCACATTAGACCACATAGTCTTCTTTATTACGTACCAAAAGTGAAACATATTTTAACATATTTAAGTCCAGGACCATTCAAGTAAAACCATCTGTGAAATAGCAGCAATATCAAATGTAGAGACGAAGGCGCTAATGTTAGACAATCATTGGTTTTTCATATCAGCTAAAGTTGTTCATCTGACCGATACCGATATATGGGAAAAAACATGAATATTGGCCGATACCGATGTGGTCGCCAATATATCATGCATCCCTAAAAAAAACAGTATCCACAAATGGAAATTCGAGCAAAAATCTTGTTATCCTAGTCAAAACAAGAACTGACACAGGATGACCTGAACCACCTCCTTGATATGCTGCATCAGGCCTAGTCGACTGGGAGACTTCCCATGATGCACTGAGCACCTCTCACTGATTCTTCTCTTTCTCTCTCTGTACAATTAAATGCCGCCATTGTATGTCACTTCGTGTCTTCTCTGTCATCTAGTTTGTGTTTTGTCCTCTCTGCAGAGATCTCTGGATGTGGAACTACACCTTTCTGATCTGCAGTTCCTGACCTCACCGACCTCCACAGTGTTCATGTCAAGTGCTCGCTTAAAGATAATTCAAAGGAAACTTTGGATTTGCTGGATGTCTCTGTTCACATTTTGCAAGGACCTCATCTTACTATGTGGAGTGCATTGAGATAACATATGTGGTTAGATGGCCCGAGGTAAGTGAAATAGAAAATTGAATTGAATAGAATAGAATAGAAGCAAAGAAGACAGATTTGTAAAGTGTTTCAATGATGCGTTACAAGCAGAATATTTGAGGAAGAGTATATTTTTACACAGATATATGAACCTATTCAACTCAGGAAACTAGATACAAGCCAACACTTGCAAATCAATAACCTCTCCTCGCTGAAGTGTTATCGAGGAAGCCTTCCCCATTATACACTTCATGTCTCACCTGCCTGACATGCTGAATGTTAATGGGGCTCCGTATAATTGAAACTGCCTCATAGAAAATTTGAGAGTCTAGCAGAGGCAGGACTGGGTGTTGAACCAGCGCTGAATAACAAACAGTGATGTTTGTGCTTTGAAAATCTTTTCTTCTTATTGCTGGTTATATCATTTTTTCAAAGGAAACATGATCCAGTGATGAGCAGAATATCTACACAGATGAAGGCCTAGTTGGTCAGTGGGATGAGCAGACTGATCATCTCTGAATGAGGACTGGATTCTTGGTTTCCAGTTCCAATGATTTCCTGGGTGGATCCAGCTTTTCTCTGTGTTCTGACAAGTTTGAGAACAGATGCCGTCATGTTTCCTCTGATGATTCATACCTGCCCGACACCGACCAAAGGTATTATTTAACACTAATGTGGAGCAGTTGATGTGATTACACAGACAAATACTCACATTATAGGTCACAGTTGGCACTGATGTGTGGCACAAGATGCACTAAATGAGTCTTTCAGAGGGAATAATTTCACAGTTAGCAATTTACATACTTTCTTTGATCTTTTCTCATTACATTCTGTTTTTGTCTCCTCCACCAGATGGCTGTGCAGCACTTCCGCCTGCACGTCTGCATTGTTATTTCCATGAGTTAGCGGTCCTGCTGCTGGTTACACGTGAGAGCCACTGTTTTCCCTCATTTGAATAAATGGCATCCAGTGAGAGGGAGCACCAGGGAAAGGACTGCTGCAGTTACAAGCTAGTGGGCTGTAACGGCTGCAGTGTCTGCCAGGAGATCTTCTGCAGCTGGCCGTGGAGATATCAGAGATGTCAGTGGAAATTTGTTTGTCACTTTTGACCTGCAAACATGAAGAGTTCATTTAGTAAAATCATGAGTTTTTAAAAATTTGATGCTGTCATCCTTTGATTGCTGCAAATCCCCATATTTGTAATAAATTGCCTTGAGTTTTTTTTTATTTTGTTTTTTACACTGCCCTCATTTGGATTGTCACAATATCGGCCTATGTGTTTCAAAATGAAACACGTATTCTACTGCCTTCAGAGTTGGTTGTAAAATAGCTGCCAGAGTAACCAAATGCCACCATGCAGTGCCGTCCAGCAGGCAGGAGTACAAGGCGAGGGGACGACTATGTATGTTGAACCACGATCACGTCCACTTCACTGACATCCTGTGCACCGCTTCATAAATCACGACAGAGCCGGCTGCAGACGTTTGGCCCTGCCGGGACTCTGGGAGCATGATTTCAAAAAACAACTCCAGCTGTTCGAAACAAACGAAGTTTAATCTGGTCCAAGTGAAAGGAGCATGGAATCGACAAACTGAGCAAAGCCAAGCGGCGGAGGGAAAGTTATCAGACGCCAAAATGTGAGTATAGAATTATGAAAAGTTGGTATTTATTCCAGTGGGATACACTGAATGATTCTTTGATTGTTTTTCACTTATTGTGCGGTTTTGTGGTAGGCCACCTGCACGCAATAAATGTTTTTCTGGTTGTCCTCATCCATGAATAAACACATACAGCTCGTTATGCCATGCAATCTTAGTAAAAATGATTAGTTTGACCTAAAATATGATTTCCTTTACATTGTGTTTCCATCCAGTAGTCCTACTGTATGGCTACTGTGTACATTCCTTGCCTATATGTCCATTACTATGCTCCATACAAGGAGGGAGGTGAAATTCCTTTCTATTTCTGGCAGCAGTGACTCCTGTGAAACATTTACTGTTCAGCAGGACTGCAGGAAGTATTCAGGTCCTCTACTTCAAGGCCCTTAAAAAAAACAAAAAACATATTGTGTGACCAGTTCTGTTTGAAGAGTTTCTTTTCTTTTCTTTCTTTTTTCTCTCCCTCTGCTGTTCTTACTGGACTGAAGTTAGAGAGGATCATTCAAACAAGCCTTATCTGTAGATATCTGGGTTGTTATATCGCTGATAGTCGAATCTGATCAAACCACATATTGGTGTTTATGAAGCAGGTTAGCTAAGTCTTGAAGTGTTAAACTATAATAAACACAAACTAAGATCTGAAATGTAGTTTTTAGGGACAGCAAGTAAAAGCAGTAATGCCACAGTACATTATAAAGAAAAGCTCTAGAGTGAAACCTTCACTCAAGTAAAAGGGGCATGATGGACTTCTTTCATGAACAAGGAAAAGTTGCATTTGCATCCTGTCATACTCACAAATCACATTATATATATCATGGATATCTAATAAATGTATTGGCTTTCCTCCCTCATAAAACATTTGCAAAGGTACTATTTTAGAATAACAGATTCTGCTTTATATCCATGTTTACTAGTTTAAAATATTCTCCTTCAGTGCATCTGGTTGTTCATTGTATTTCCAGTGCAACTTAATCAAAAACTCAACAGTCTACCTTTTAATTATCGAAAATAAAGCACTCACTTGCAGAGTGGTAATTTTTTTTTTTTTATAGTATTTTATCATTATCATCAATTTTAAACAGAATATTAATGTTATATTTTCTGTTTGTGAAGCTTTATAAACTGCTGATTGGTTTAATCTGTTGCAAATTATTCAGCTGATCTATGTGAACTGGAAAAGAAGCCATCAAATGCATGAAGCTGAGTAAAAAGAACAATATTTCTTCATACAAAGAAAATTAAATAGGAATACATTTAATACACAGTGAGTTACAGGCAGCGTGTGATCTAGCAAGTGTTTCTTTCTGCCCCTGAACCACTAAAAACAGAATCAAATTTTCAGCTGGAGCTTTTAATCCATAACTTTTTCCCTCTTTTTGCTACTTTATTGTGATTCATCTTCAGCTATGAGAGCAAGTCAGAACATGGAGTTTCCTGGACAGTGTCCAGCCCCATCGTGTTTACCTACACAGTCATTCAGTGCAGAAACATACTGGATCCCAGCAATGACACTCTACTCTGGGGTCACATAGGAGATGAAGAACTTAAAGGCATCTTAATTAACTCCAAACCGCCGAAGCGTTTCGTTGTCATCGACGAAACTGTCAATCAGCTCTATGGCTCCCGGGTCGCTCAGTACTTTGAGGCCAGACGAGTCGTTCACAAGATTGTCCCTCTGCCCACCACCGAGGAGAACAAGAGTATGGAGTTAGTGACCAAGATCCTGGAGGAAGTTCATGGGTTTGGTATTGACAGACGCTCTGAGCCGATCATAGCCATCGGAGGTGGGGTTTGTCTGGACGTAGTGGGTCTGGCTGCATCTCTCTACCGTCGAAGAACTCCCTACATTCGAGTGCCGACCACTGTGCTGTCGTACATTGATGCCAGCGTGGGGGCGAAAACAGGGGTCAACTTCGCAGGAGGTAAAAACAAGCTGGGGAGTTACATCCCACCGGTGGCCACGTTCTTAGACTGCTCTTTCTTCCAAACTCTCCCACGACGTCAGATCTCTAATGGGATGGCAGAGATGTTAAAGGTGCTCGTCTCTGCATGGTCATTAATAAAGAGAGTGCTTTCCCTGATGGTGTTGCTCATTAACACTTAAATCACTGTCAACAATTTGCCACACTCCCAACCAACTTTGAATAAATGCTTTGTGGTTGATTTTCCAATTTTTAGCCAGACATCAGCTGCTGTTCATGCTGAGATAATAGAAAACGAACTTGCCGAACCTCGAGTAATGTTATCGTAGGTGGCAATTTTGTTTTTGCTCTTTGGTCGTGCACACAAGACAACAACTTGTGAGAGCAAGATCCTGTTTGCACACAAAATAATATTTGCATGTCCACAAGCTATTATCATATACACACAAAAACAGTATCTTTCAGAACTTTAGAAGCTCCTGGCTCTTCAAGAAAGAGTCAAAACATTCCCCTCTGACAAGTTTGTCAACAAAATATATAGAAAAAAATTAAGGCAACCAAGCGTTTTTGAAAAATGTCAAACAAACCTCTTGTAACTGGTTTTCATTATGCACTTAAATCCCATTTCCCAGCAGCGAATTCTAAATACAGCTTATTTTCATAGATTTTGTGTTTGAGCATGTTTGCTCATTAACATCGCACACAGCTTTTGTCTTTTTGTCAAGACATCTATCGTGAATTTGAAGATGTAGCTGAAACAAGTAGTTGCATGTTTTGACAATAGCCCTTATTTGCTGAGCTGAGTTAACCCTGTTGTGCTTCAACCTTCTGAAGAGCTGTTTGGGCTGCTACGTCTTACATAATTGAATTCTTGTTTAAGGGTGTTGACGCAGTGGTTAACGCTGTCACCTCACAGCTGGAAGGTTGTAGGTTCTTTCTGTGTGGAGTTTGCATGTTCTCCCTGTGCAGCGTGGGTTCACTTCAGGTTCTTCCCTCACCAATTAATGCTGAGGTTAATTGGTGATTCTAAATTGTCTGTAGGTGTGAATATGAGTGTGCATGCTTGTCTCTATGTGTAGCCCTGTGATAGACTGGTGACCTGTCCACGGTGTCCCCTGCTTTGCTCTGAGTCAGCTGGGATAGGCTCCAGCCTCCCCACAACCCTACATCAGATTAAGCAGTGTATAGATAATGGATGGATCCATGTTGGTGAAAACTATAGATGCATATTGAAACCCAGCTCCCCACAAGCCCTTTCATGGTTTCTTCAAACTTCTGTCTATTTATGAATGCTGTGTTGCATGCACAAAAATGTAAAGACCCCCTTTCCTCAACAATGCGCTTTGTTGATTGCATCTTCACTCAAAGGATTCTGCACATCGTCGTGCAGAGTGACATGCTATGTGCAGTTCACTGAAGTCAAAATGTTTTTCTGTGCTCACCTTAAATCTGAGTTAAAGACCTGAAGGTACCAGCAGGATTTTGCAACATCACAACTTGGTTACAAGCCTGTCGTGCTTCAGTATGCTCCTAACATAGTGTGATGTTGAAGTTCAAAACCTCTTAGATGTATCTATGCACGTACACAAGACAATCATTTTCAGTGAAGTAGAAGCCATGAAGAGTTCCTTTGTTTTGAAATGTTTTTTAAAAAATGGAAATCAACAACATCCAACTTCTTGATTTTTCAATAAGAGAAGAATATATAAATAAAAAGGAGATGTAACTTATTCTCTAAATCATAGTAATTTTCAGAGAATTAAACATGTCTGGAAGGGATCTTTCATTTTTTTTTGCTCACACTAGGCATGACTGTTCATTACATGTTGGGTGTATACATGTTATCTGTAACAAACTGCCGTTTTTCTGTCGACTGTCACGTTAGATGGCCCTGATGAAGCACATCGGCCTATTTGAGCTGCTGGAGGCCGACGGCAGGAGGCTGCTGAACAGCAAGCTGCAGTCCTGCGACACCAGCAAGAGTTCTGCACAGGAAGACAGTGCTATAGCGTCTGTCCGCATCGCTATAGAAACCATGCTGGAGGAACTGGCTCCTAACTTGTGGGAGGATGATCTGGACAGACTGGTGGATTTTGGTCACCTCATCAGCCCTGAGCTAGAAATGGTCGAGAAGTATTTCTCTTTGTATTTATTGTTTACAATGTAACAGTTTGTGGATTAGCCTAAATGAGTTTGTCACAATAATTCCTGTGCTCAGGATTTTTCTTACATAACAATGTATAACCGCTTCCATCTGTTCTGAATCTACAGAGAGTGTTGCCAGCGTTGCTCCACGGGGAGGCGGTGAACATCGACATGTCCTTCATGGTGTACGTGGCCCACCAAAAGGGGCTTGTGACAGCAGACGAGAAGAACCGAATCATACGGTGCATGCTGGGTCTGGATCTGCCTGTGTGGCACCAGGACTGTACTCTGGCTCTGATACAGAAATCTCTCAGGGAGCGTTTGAAGCACTCTGCCGGCTCTCTGAGGATGCCTCTCCCCACAGGACTGGGACGTGCAGGTAAAAAGGCAGACTATAAAACACATCTGCCAACAGTCTTTTGGCATTTGTAAATGTTGACTGACAAGTTTCTGATTTTATAGAAATCTTCCATGACATGATTGAAGATAATATCCTTTGCCAAGCTTATGAAAAATGGACCGATGAGCTTTCTTCTGGGAACAAATGAAAATAAGCATTATATATGTAACTAAACTTGAAAACTTATTTTGTATCCGTAAGCAAAATATAATCATTTCTGTCATAATATGTAATGTAGTTATATATAACACACACTATAATGGAGTTACAAGTAACAACTACAATGCATCCAGTGGGCCACCACTAGTGGAGTTTGGTGTATTAAAAAAAAAAAAATGTAGCTGACAATGTAAAAAAGAATCACTGGTGTTACAATAAGAAAATAGAAAATGCCAGAATATGTGTTTAACTCCATCCACAGGGTGTCATCAACCTTTATTATTAGGGATGTCCAATAATATCGGCCCACCGATATTGTAGATATTCCTATATCGGGCCTATAATATATAGATATTATAGGCAGATATATATTGGCATAAAAATGTAATATCTGTCAATATTGTTATCGTTTTTGGGGTTTTTTTGTTTCGTTTAATGAAAACCGATAAACTAATGCTTGGATTTTGCCGGCATTTACCGGCGTGCAAATGATGACGACATCAAACTGCATCATGAAGTGTGTAAACAAGTGTGGCTGCAGTAACAAACATATATCGGTATTGGTATCGGTTGATATCGGAATCGGAAATTGAGAGTTGGGCAATATCGACATATTGGATATTGGCAAAAAAGTCAATATCAGACATCCCTATGTAGTATGCTGCTTATTAATGTAAGTGTTGCCTTGTTTATATTTAACTGGATATTTAAGTCATCAGAATTTAGATTTTGAGGGAATAAAACACAAGCTCCACCAGCATTCAAATAAAACTTTTAATATTCTCACGAGATAGTTTCCACATTGAGTACCAATGAGTTTGAGTTCACTACTCTGAAACCAGTGGGTACAGTAACTATTGCTACATTCATCTCTTATAAACTGTAACAATAAGAACAGTAGCAACATCAGCAGAGAACGTTGTTTGTATGAACCACAGGAATGAGAATTAGCAGACGAGGTCTAAACAGAGCTAACATGGTTCTTCATTAGTGGTTTACCCATAATGTGCCGTAATAATTTACAACTCTTAAAGTCACCGTAAGAAATCAGTAAAAGTGGTGGCTTCATCATAAGTGCTACACAACCTGTAATGCTAACATGCATTCTAACCAGTCACATTTCAGGGTTATTTGATTTATCTGTGTATCTGGGTTCAGTCGGCGTTACAGGCCTGTGCATGTTGCACTGTTAAGGCTTCGTCCCTGTTATGATTTCATCATAAAGGGACAGTCTGCAATCCACTGATGCTGTACTTCATCAATGACAAAAAAAAAGTTAACTCAAAGTTCTCTTTACCTGCTTTTTCAAGGACTTTCAGCTGCATGTAATGTCTTGGTGAGCAGGTGAGGTCAGCTCAGTGGATAGCAACACTGTGAGATGCAGCTGAAAGTTCACGAAAAGCTAGAATTAAGTTCATCTTGAGCTATGTTTCTATTTCTTTATTTGTTTTGCATTTCACTTGTAGCCTGATTGCCATCATGCTTTACATACTGCTCATAAGTAGGGAGGAGAAACACCTCTATTGAAAGGTGCGTCAACAAAACAGTTTAAACATTTGTATTTCTATCTGTATATAAGTGTGTTGTGTCTTCATTTTTGGCACACATTTTGGCAGTTAGAACTGTGAACTACATTCATACTAGTCTCAGAAGGATTTGAAATATTCAGGCTAACCTTGGAAACATTGCCTTCAGTGTACAATTTCTAAAATGCACAGCTACAACATGTGACTTCCAAAGTGTTCAATACTAAATGAATTTATAAGCTATTAAAATGAATTAATGAGTAAACCATAATAAGTAAGGGGGGCTTACAGTCATGGTAGTGGTTCTGTGAGGCTGCAGTTATGCACAGTTCTGCATTTTGTGAAATGTTAAACCAGGATGCCAACATGTCCACGATGCTAACAAGCTGATATAACAGTCATGATGTATCATATCATAGTGGGACTGACATAGAGTGCCCAAGTAATTACTAGGGATGGCCCAATCAAGTTTTTTTTTTAGTCATTTAATATATAGTGTCTACTGATAGTGTATTCTCTACATGCAAGTCAGAACATGTACATGTACAACATTAGCTGTAGTACCTGGTCGTACCTCTTACTATTTTTAACACTGTAGTGACCAGAGCAGACACAGACTATGGGCTGTTCTGTGTTGGCAAGCAGAGAGCATTGTGGGAGTTTAGCAACAAGAAGCATGACAGAGACAAGTGTGACACCTAATGTCGTCCGGCCAGTTAGTGCTTTTTTAAAAATATGTCCGGATGAAACTTATACTCTCCTATTCTGACATGTGTGTCGAGCAGATGTAAACAAAAGATTGGGCATGGAAAAGTGCTGATAACGATACGGATCGGTTCCTGATCCAGATCCTTGAGACTGTCTCCTGACATCCTTTGAATACTAATGTCTGCCGCATATCAACTAATTCAATTGTTGTCAAGTTAAAGTGTTTGACTCAAGGCCTAAACCCTGCTGGTGGGGCAAGATAAAGAGCCACAGGAAAGCATGAGTCTTTAGGGTTCATCCTCTGGATACCATGAAACATCTGTTTAAAATTATATGGCAATCCATCTAAGAGTTGTTGAAATATCCCTCACAGGGTAGGCTGAAGGACACAGACATCTCTAGAGCCACATTAAAACTCCACAATTACACTTTTTCTTTTAAAATCACTCTTTCATGACCACTGTGTTTCAGCCCACTAGATGCTTTAAGCAAGCTCAGAAAACATCAGACTTCTGCTCAACGTAGCAAAATTTGCTCTGTTGCTGCAGAAGCTAGTTCTTTGTCTCAGATTTACTTTGGCGCTGTCTAGCTAACAAGAGTTTGCTGGCTAGGTTTTGTGGCTGTGTGGAGGAAATAAATTAAAAAAAAGACATGAGAATGGGCAGAAACAATATGACTAAGTGCAAATGAAATAAAGCAGTTACTATGAAAACACACAATGCAATAATATTATTTTTAAAATATTTTTTCAGGATTTATCGATGATTTCTATGCTTTATTCTACTTTACTTTCTGTTTGTGATAACTTATTTTATCATACCTGATTTAGTATTGAACACTTTGGGGCTCCACAACAACAAACGCTTTCTTGTGGTTCTTGAGTCACTTCTAGTGTTATCTCATTCTGACTAAAGATCCCTTCCCGCTGCCATCTCAGGGACCTCGACACTCTTCAGTTAATCTATGAAGCACCAAGCACGAGTATAAACATGGACAAAATGTTGCATCACTCCTCTCACGTCACCAGGGTAACAGAAACCACTTTAAGGCACTTAAATGAAAAGACAATTACTTCAACACCGTCTCAGACTAATTCATAAAGAGATCACATTTTCAAGACATGATGCTGCTTTACAGGCACAACGTCAACCATTGCATAGTTTGACAAAATGGAGGCTGTGCTGTAACAGGGCTCTCAGTGTATGGCAGGTAGTAATCAACGAAGGCATACTTATGCAACATGCTACGACTAGCTTCTAAACAAACTGCGGAAATATACAACCGTACACCGTAAAGAATCTACAGTCTCATACAATATTCTGTATGCATCTGACGAGCCAAGTACAATAGTTAGTTTATGCTTAGATAAAAAAAAAAAAAAAAAAAGGCGGACAAACCATATTTCAATTTACAGAGGTCATTCCAGTGTTTTGACAATGTCATGCATTTCATACAAAATCCCAAAGCAGTCTCCTTATAGTCCTTGGCAATATAAATGTTCACATAGTGGAAAAAAAAAATCCTGAATGTGAAATGAAGTGGTATAAAAAAACAAAAAACAATAATTTAGGAAATTGATGGACTGTTATAAAAACCGAGATCAACACGCCTGTCGTATTAAAGTACACAGCGTGTGCTGAAAGAGTCGTAGTTTTACCAGTCGTCTGTCTGATCACTACAAAGTATACAATAAAACTTAATTGATTCATCTTTTTTAGATTAAACAAAAAATATTTATAGATGTATGTAAAAATGTTCAGATCTATCAAGTGAGATTCTTTTAGAACCTTCAACAGCCTTTTTTTTTTAATTTTGAGATTCTATTCCTTTTGTTTAATTTAATATTTTAGTGGGTTTGGCAGTGAGGAATGTACTGGTATTATATCTGGTACACACTGCTGGATCAAACAGCACTGTATGTTAAAGGACGCGTGGTGAAACTTGACCTTTCTGTCGTGTTATTGGATTGTTTCTCATTATGACACTGAATAAAAGGCTACTGTTAATCATTATCGGTGGTAAGTTTGTTCATTTCGTCCAGGAGACATATTAGGCTTTTCAATTTTTTTTTTTAATGTGCTTTAATTTATCATCTTAGGCTTTTTATAAATGCCTTGTTATAAATTATTTTTTAAGGGGAATGTGTAAATAAAGTCCTGTTTACATAGGTACATAAATAAGATCAAATCTACAAATGATTAATATTTGTCAAGCGAGAAATTTCAACTGGAAGACTGACAAAGACTCAGCTAACAGCCAAAACATGTGCATAGCAATACAACAACGATGTATAGACATCTTAATAAGGCATTGGCACATTCAAGTTCAATCTAAGACACAAAGAGTGTAAAGCACTATAGTAATAAATAGATTTTTTCTTCTTCTATTATTGCCAGTGATTTAAAAAGCAGTGTTCATCTCACCACAAAATATCTACATTTCTGACCATGATTTATAATTTCCCTAGATTCTTTGGAATCAATAGAAAAACACATAATCTAGCCTCTATCCAAAGATAAATGCATCTATATATTTTTTTAAATATAAAAACTTCTATTTTTTTGTAACTCATTGTCATCAAAATATTGATTAAAGCAGACACTTTAAAATCAAGTCCTTGAAATCAAGGTTGAGAGCTTCAAATGACATAAACAAAAGAGGAAGAAAAGAAAAAAAAAACATGAATGGAAAAGATTCAATACATGTAAACACAGGCGGGGGAGAAAGAAAAAAAAAAGTACACAAATGACCACGAACGGAAGAAAAAGCCTCTCGAGCAGTGTGTTAGCCGCCGACAGGGAACACTTGTAGCAGGGTTGAAGATGCAGGCGATGTCTCCTCCAGCAGGGGGTGCTAACAGCCCGGCTCGTTCTCATCCATGCTCACGCTGCTCTTGCGACTGCTGTCCTTTGAGGTGTCTGGGGAGACGGATGAGAGCAAAGGGTCCCCCCCTCTCACCGGTGATAAGGTGTCTTCCATGAGGATGTCGTTGAGTTTGGAACCCGGCTTGCTGTGGACGCTGTAGTGGCCCTCGGGGAAGTTGGAGTGGCCTTCGCTCAGCTCCAGGGCGCCGGGCGGTTCGGGAGTGCAGGCGGGGTGGTGTTGGTGATGGGGGTGGAGTGTGTACAGGTCCTGGTGACAGTCCTCCAGAGACGGTTCCTGCTTGATGGCCCGGGCCCCGAGTTCGGCGGAGCAGAGCGCCGAAGATGCGATGGCCAGACCGTGAGCCCGAGCCTGCATCTCTAATTCCTAACAGACGCACACACAAAAATCAATCAGTGATGGCTTTCACTGCCTTGATGTCTGTTAATCACATTAATCTCATGTGAGGGTTGGTTGGTCATGAATTCCTTTTCATTATTAAAAGGTACACTGTACTGTTTCCTCAGAGAAGCTGGTGAGCAGAGCTGTTACTTGTAGGTGACTTGTTTGAAATTGCCAACTGATGGAGCCATTTGAATGACTTCTCACCCTGGTGAAATATTTCCCCCCCCCATGATGTGCTGCTCTGATTAATTATTAAAAGGCAAACCCACAAACTGATCAATCATTCAATGTCTGGTGAGTGGAATCACACTGATTCCTAGCCTTGTGATCAATTTATTACAAGATGACAGCCCAAACAGCTGGATTCCTCATTAAATATGCAGCTTTTGCAGTGTGAATTAATTTCCCCGAAGCTTCTGTATTTCATAAAAGCGTAATAATGTCTTTTCAAGTCAGCAGAGGCGTTTTTTTATCTCACTGCAGCTAAAAGCATGTTCCTGACTGATATCTCTGACCCTGTGACTCTGTCTTCTAATGGCTTGTCTTCATCAAAGTCTTCACCTGTATTCTCAACATCAGATGTCGGTTGGCGTGCTCAAGCTTCTTCTGACGGCTCTCCAGCTCCTTGGCCCTCTGCTGCTCTCGCTGCAGCTTCCTGATGTAGTCCACTGATGCCTTCAGGATGGTGCCTTTGTTCCAGCGCATGTCGCTGAAAAATCACAGTGCAGCCATTATTCTTACATCCAACAGTTCCTCAGATCCGAAGTTTTGATGTCAGACAATCAGCAGTTTCCACTCCACAGAAATGTGAAGTTATAATTAAGGGTTTTTCATTTGAGGAATAAAAGGACACTGATGCTGACACCATTGAAAAGTTGAGTTTAACGGCATCAATTGTTCAAGTGAGTGACTCCGTATGCTATAATAGAGTGTAATTTATGCCTGTTCGGTTATAAAAACAAGAGGAGAAACAAGGAACAGAGCTGCTGTGGAGGTCGCAGAGGTTAGCTCTTTCCAGGAATGAATGCTATTTTGGAAATTTATGCCGAGGAGGTCACCAGGGTCACAGACAGTCGAAAGGATGACCCCTGTAAAATTGAACGTTGCACTGGAGGATTTGTAGGAGTAAAATTGATGTTTAGTAGACTAAATGGGGAAAATGTATCCACAGATGTATGATCGGTTTAGGTTCAAAGTGGGTGTAAGGCTTACGGACAAAAAAATGTTACTTTTCTAAATGTAACAACGCGATTAACTCCAAAGTTAATATGAGCAGTGAACAACTCTACTGCTAAGAAGTGCATGTATGTTTGCTTTTTCAGGATGTGCACTTATATAAGCTGGGTCTGTTTGTGAAAGGTAGTCTCTGAGTTTGTCTGTACATAGGTGTGTGTGTGTGTGTAGGTGGAGCACCCAGCTGGGGTTTAGTAAAACAACCAGAAGTGAACAGACACAACTAAAGAGGCTGCTAATATCCTCCCAGAACCACAGATCAAGTCAAAGGGCAGAGAATGAGAACAGAGTGAGCTTAAAGTCACTAATATGTTCATAATATCCTAATCATCATGCTGCATTTCCACCTTATGGATCTATCAGAGTTGATTCCTTCATCTGTGTTCCTACTGATTTACTTCAATCATGTAAACCCAGACATTTGTATACCCACATACAAGTTATTCAAAGATAGGCCCCCTGTTAAAAAGTCTGTCACAAACCTAATAGTGCCTACGTGTGTGGATAAAGTCCTTAATTACAGCTGAAGCTAATGTGGGGATTCATGTCTTTAGATACTATTCAGTATTTTTTTTTTGTACAAAATTTCCACTGTGATTTTCTTGAACAGTGTTATCTTGCCTTCATAGAGAGATGGTAACACAGTGTTCCTTGACTTTCTTGTCCTAACAACAAAGTCATTTTGAAACCGACTGACTCGGTACAAGCTTCAGCTGAAGTTCAATATTTTTCCACAGGACTCTTCCATTTTTATTGTGCAAGCAAGAAATCTCTTCATAACCAGTGTGGATAGACATGCTGAAAACATGTGTATCCTTCCATGTTGCTGTTCAATCATCTCTTTAACCTGCTTCTCATCTAATCTTGGATTTCTTTTTTACTCATCCCGCATTAGACTGACTTGTTGTTCACGATAGCCATTAAATATAAGAAAACTAGAAGATACATGACACATCCGTATAGATCTTTCATCGCAATTCATTTTTCTTGCCTTTTCCTTTTAAGATTTCACTCTTTAAGTAACAAATATTAAATCTTGTTGCACAGGAATGTTGCTATGCTTTTCAAGTCTGTTTTGAACAAGAAGGCTGAATATGGTAAGTGACTTACGGGTCATTGGATTTTGGAATTAAAGTTCCCAATTCCTTAATTCGATCATTGATGTTAAACCGCCGTCTTCTCTCAACTGCAGAACAAAATCAGAAAAAAGAAAGTTACCTAAATGCTATTGAGGATTATCTCATTAAACAAAATTTGAACATTTATTTAGATGACTTCTTTTTGCAAACATGATAATGCTATTGCAACCATAATGACATTCGCAGAGTATAGTGCAATTTAAACTCACTCAGATTATGGTTGTCTTTTTTCTGCCTCTCCTTTGCCATCGCTCTTACCTCAGCTTCTGATAAAAACACATTTTGATTAGTGGGTGAAATCAGTGCAACAGATATCTTCAACATTTTGAAGCCATGTAGTCACACGTACCCACAGGGAACCCTTCAGGCCTTTGATAGTTGTCAAATTTGCCACAAGATCCAGACTTATCCAGCATATGCATGATGGCCGGGGATTGTGAAACTATGTGACAAATAACGTTGTTTTCAGTATCAAAATGCACAGAATGAATGAACGAATACAAGTACAATGGAAACAAAAACATATCGAGTCAACATCCCCAACACCAAAGAGGGAATTACAGGAGCTGGACGAATTCTAAAATGCAAAATAATGGGCTGCACAAAGGCCTGGAGAGTAGAACTTCATATATGTTGTTAGAGAATACCAGATATCACTGTTAATTTTAACAGCTCAAATGTTCCATAGATTTATTGTGATGACAGAAGCCATTTAGTCATTTGTATGTCTTTTGCTGGGACAAACTGTCCTGCTTACCAGAGTATTCCCTTTTGATGTTGGGCAGGTTGGCAGGGCAGGAGTTGCTGATGGGAAGACCTTGCTGGGACATACCCTGGTTACCGTACATGTCCATGAGGTTAGCAGGAACTGGGATCTGAGGGGACGCAGGAAAATCACTGATGAGCAAAGATCACAACGTTCTTCTATCGATGCTAATCAGCATTACAGGTCACACGTAATGAGGAAGGTTTTAACATAAAAACAGGCCTTTGAGAAAAGCATCATGATTTAAAGAGTTAGATGGACACAACTCTCCTGTCTGTCAGGCTACGTCCACAATGATATGTAGCGCCCACACTACCCCAGCATTTAAAGAACCCTAAAACAACCATTTTTGGATGTGCTGCTGATCAAGATTTAGCTTAGACGGACAGAAACAGAGGCTTTTGGAAACAAAGACACCCACATTTACTTTGTGATCGAGTCTTATCAGTCACTGTGACCTCCCCTGACTCATCACACGATTATCACGTGACTCTTTCCTGCAAGAAGACAAAGACATGGGCTTTGACTGTCTGCGGTTAATTCAACACGGACAACGAATTGCAGGCGTTACTTATCTTGTTATCTATGCCAACAGCTGTTTCGCAGTTCAGAAAATTTCTGTCCGTGCTTTAAACCATTTCTGTTCTGCTTATGTGGTATGTTCTACAATCAGCAACCAAGCTCCTGCTTCGCGTTTACATCGACACCTGCCTGCCCTCTGCATTGGCTGCATGATGTGTGTTTTTAGCATGCTCAGAGATTATTTCTGAAATGCTCGTCTGGACGGAGATTATTTCTGTTTTAAAACGCTGGTTCAAGATGAAAATGTATTAGTGTGGATGCAGCCTCAGTTCCTAGCTAGTTAACACAATGCATCCTGTTTGTTTAATCCACAAAAAAGACACATTTGAAGTGAGGAAAAACAACAAATTGTGCATTTAAGAGGGCTGGCATGCTGGACCTTTTCTGAATTTCCTAAACTGTTGAAAAAGTCACTACTAAAATGTCCAATTTTATTTTTATTTGGATGAAATGAAAAATACTTTATTCATCCCAGAAGGGAAATTCAATTGCTGATGCGCTCCAATGCTACTTCTATAGTACCACACGATGTAGTATGCCACAAAAAGGATTTAGCACAGCTCAGTACTTAGTATATCAAATGTAGTATGCCAAAGATAGCCAGATTTCCTCCTACATCCAGTTGGATTTTGCAGTATGCACATTTTTCTGGCCATTCTGATCCACAATCCTCTGGACAGGTCCAGACTGCAGTGATAAGACAAACTAGTGTCTCCCAGTTACATGCATGCTGCATGAAACAGTAAATACTTTGTAAGGGCAGTTGAGTATGTAGTGTAAATAAAAAGTATTCAAATGCAGCCTTTGTTTCTTCTTTAGTGTCACATAATTTGCTGATGTCTTTATGCTAAAACACACCACATGAAACTCCCTTACGTGGTGACCTTTCAAAAGAAAGAAGTTCTTGGTGTGTATGCAGAGCGAGAGTTGAGGGTGAAGCATCATAATTTTGTACACACATACCGTGTTTGCCATCTGAAGTCCTGGGTCCATCAGGCCGAGGATATCGTCACTGTAACTGGACTCCAGACTAATAATGTCATCAATGACATCATCCATCTACAGCAAAACAGAATGACTAAATGAGTAAGCAATCACAAAAACAATGCGCACAATCAGTCTAAATAAGAGCTCACCTCTTTCTCGCAGTTGGAGTTGAGGGTCAGTAAGGCCATAGGGCTGTTGGGGGCGCTGTTGCCCGGCCCTGGCGGCATGCCCCCGTGGTCAGAGGACTGGTTGGGGCAGGGCAAGCTCAACGCCTGAGAACCAAGCTTTCCCAGGTACCGCTTCACCTGCTGCTGCTGGGAGCGCTGGATGTGGTACTTAGTGGGGTTCTCCAAGTGAGTCTGGACCTATTGGTGGAAAGCAGAGCAGGAAAAATGAGGAGAAAAGAAAGAAATTATTGACACGGAAAGGTATCTGGTACAAAGATGAGTGGGTGTGTTGATGGTTAGAGGAAGAGATGCTCCTTGTTTAGGAAACAATCATATAAATATACTCCTTGGTCATACTAGCAAATGAAATGTCACTGAGAGAAAGAGATTCATTTCAAATAATACAAAGTTTTTTGATATGTGCTGCCAAATAAGTCTTTTATTAGATTAAAGTAACTCTAAATAAAGCTCAAAGTCTTGCCTCTCCCCTGTATTCTGCAATCCTGACTATAATATTAAAATAAACCTGACAGAGATGTCAAATCCTACGATGCATAATGCATTTTTCTTTTGAGACGCTGTCAAGAGTTGTTATCTCGGAGTCTCAGAAGCAAACACTTTGTACATATTTTCCTTCGGCTCGACTAATTTCTGCTCCTCTAAATTCACGGTCCACATATTTGAGCAACAAAAAATTACACGCACGCCCGTCTCTGTACTCCCAGTTTAATGATAAATTTGATTTCTGTGGATCATTAATCCCCACACAGCATTAATGATCCAGAAAAGCTTCTGCAGGCAAATAAACAAACTTCAGAGACAGCGTTTGTCAGGCTGTAACACATTTTAAATGGAGCAGAGCTGCAGCGTTCCAACTTACATTTGGAAGTCTATATTTAAACCTTCCCCCTCTTTAGCCTGAATTTTTGATGCAATGATGAACAAATTCGGCGATTTAGTAAAGACAGACACATCACTGAATATAAAAACATAACGCATGAGCACTTTCAAAGTCACGTCTGCATTAATGTTAAATAAACAGTAGAATTTAACCTGATCCACGTCATGTTATCTCCCATGTAAGTTCATTTTAAACATACCTCGTAGGGTTGGTATCCAAGCATCTCTAGCATGATTTCCTTTTTCAGGCAGTCCAATTAAATAACAAAAGAAGAACCTTAAACTCCTGTGTTTGACTTCTATCTAAACTAAGAAGTAGCTGTAGCTGCTTCCTTCTTGGTTGCACCAGACGACTAAGTCTGCTAGGATTAGAAGACACATGCAGCTCATCTTTTAAAAGGCAAGGAAAGTAATTAGTTATGCATGTCAGAGAATCTCAGTCAATACAATGAGCCTTTTCAAATTTGTGTTGTTTTATGTAAAATCTGTATTTATTCCTTTATGGTGTATCACTTGATGTCAGGATGTGGGGCTAACAGTTAGAGTCTTTGTTTTGCAAGGCCACCTCTTTTACTGAAACTTGCCCGGGGCTGTTACTTTGCCCCATCCACTTTTTAACCCATGTGGATAATTGGCATGTGTTCCCAGTTCAACACAGCACAAAGAATAAAGTCTATTTCTTCCTTGTTTGTCTCCGCGTGTCTCTTAATGACATTTTTAATAGGCTACAAAAAAGACGTATCTTAAAAACTAATGAATAACAGCCTCAGCGTTTTTTTTCTTTTTCATTTTTAAACTGATGCATTTGTTCTGCATAAGGCCAGAGGATCGGCTTCATTAACAGACCTGAGGAGATCACAGGTTCTAGACGAACTCTTAGCTACCTCTGACATTTACTCTGCGCCTGTGAAAACTTTCTCAGTCCACATGCTGAACTCAGCAGTGACATCCCAAACGATACGGCTGTTGAAGCGGTACGAATAACTGAACTGCCTCCAACAGTAATTTATTTCATGAGTAGGAGAAAACTGCACTGGCTTTTATTTACTTTTGATGAGAGATTTTCAGTCTCATATTTTTTAAAACTAACAATAAAAACGCAGTAATGTTCACAGAGCCAGTCTTTGTGTGCAGGTTTGTATTCACACAATGCATGTGAATCTTACTATGATTTAAAATGACTTTAATTTTCTGCAAACTGGTGACCTAGTTTATCACTTGCCATGTTGTCATCTCTTATTCTATAGTGCATAATAGGTATTATTATACAGTATACACTGTGTGCGTGCTTCATTAGGTAAACCTGAACAGTCTAATATGACTATTCTGCCACAAGCTCTACTTTTACGACACATGTAATGTTCAGGTTTTGATTGGACACAGTCATAGTGATGCTATTTCAATTCCAATGCTAGTTAGTGACGCCTTGTGCTGGACTTCATTATGTTCAGAGGTGTTTCTAACAACTGGTTCCACTCATGTTTGTAACTCAGGAGAACTAGTGCTCAGTTTAACGTTGCAGCATGAAGTGAACTTACACATGTCCCACAACGAAAACTAAACCTAAACTCTATAAAGTCACAATCAATGGCAGAAGGTTTGAATGAATTGTATTAAACTGTAAAGGTGAACAAAATAAACTGCCCATTAACTGGCTTTCTGTGATCATCATTTTTTTCAGAATCTCTTTCAGAGCCCCTTCTCCATGCTCTGATACACCATCATTGTTCTGCAGGGGGAGACTCATGTGAGCCACATTAACATTCTGTGTATCCTGCAGGTATGACTGAGGACACTGCAGGCTGTAAGTTGTCATCACAGGATTGTAAAGCTTACAGCACTGAGGGCATATTTACAGCGTGCCAATGACACATTAAGAAGAGTGATATCATGCTTTGGGCAAAAGGATTGGATTCATTAGTGTTCACCACTTACAGCATCATTTAGTCTTTACTTTGTTCTCATTATAGAGTTTGACATTCGTGCATTTTTATATTTATACGAGCTGATAACATCTTGAGGATCATCAGTAATGACTCAACTCCTCTGCAAATCATTTTTTTCAAGCCACTTAAACTAAACACTAAACACACTGTATGAAAATATGCTTTACACGTTGTGAAAAGAGTGTCGTTGATCCTGATCATAGACTGAACTCATAGCAGAGTATTTAGAAACCTAATCCAGATGGATATACTTGAGCCATAAATGTGCAACCCAATTATTAGTAATGCATGCGTAAATAACGTGTAAACAAACCGTGAGCACGAGTAATCTTTGCTGCTTATCAATGAAACTGCAATCGAATTCAGATTGGGTTGATTCTGGCTAAAAGACAACTGTCCATATAGTTATTTTATTATCCTCTCTGTTTATCATTTTAACTTTACACTGACACTAAACCTTTGTGGTTGAATTTTACGTTTGTCAAGTTTGTATTTCATTGAGAAACGCTGAAAAGCTTAGTTATGTTAGGGCTGCAATTAGGAATTATAAAGATTTTGCTGATTAACTGTTTGGCCTATGACATATCAGGGAATAGTAAAACACTGAAAATATCACATTCGACAAAAAAGGAAATATTCAGATTTCAATATAAATGTTGACGTTTTTTCTTAAAAAACTGACTGTAATGTTCAACAATCAATTTGGATTACTAGTTTCTTGTTACCTGACAGTAACTATCAGCAAAGAGCAACGTAGAAACATTAAGGTAGTTATTTAGATGAACATTGAATCAGTAATCTATCGAAAAAGATCTTCAGGTTTGATTTAGTTCTTAGATATTACACATTTGGTTGAAATTTAAATGGAAAATCAAACAATCCCACGTGCACATGATGCGGTTTAAATGTGTGAACAAACAAAAAGGTTCAAGTACTATCTAATTTTTATTTAAAATATTAAACTTAGGGCTGCAAGGTGGCGCAGTTGGTTAGCACTGTTGCCTCGCAGCAAGAAGGTCGCCGGTTTGCATCCAGATGGGGACACCGGGATCTTTCTGCGTGGAGTTTGCATGTTCTCTCCGTGCAGCGTGGGTTCTCTCCAGGTTCTCTGGCTTCCTCCCACAAGTCCAAAAACATGTTGAGGTTAATGGTGATTCTAAACTGTCCGTAGGTGTGAATGTGAGTGTGCTTGGTTGTCTGTCTCTAAGTGTAGCCCTGTGATAGACTGGTGACCTGTCCAGGTGAACCTGCTTGAGTCAGCTGGGATAGGCTCCAGCCCCCCCGTGACCCTAGTGAGGATTAAATGGTGTATATATAATGGATGGATAGATAATAAACCTACCCTGCTATTTCCTCCATTTCACTCTGTCATAATCCAGAAATTATCATTAGCTTGTTTAATAAAATCCTATTTGTCTTGTCAGTTGGTTCCTAATATCACTTCCACACTTTTTAGGTTTTCCCTGTAAAAGAGCACGTTGTCCTTCTTGTAAGGGAACAATCGTCTCTTAATAGTAGCCAGTTTTGAGAAAAAAGAGTAAACAGAGCTGCTTTAGAGACTCGGCTTGTTAATTATCATGCTCTAAATCTCTGAAGGTCAGATTTTATAGCTGTACAAAACATGCAGAAAAGATCAGTTTTTATCTTTTTATTTTTTATCATTGCACCAGTTTCTGTTTTTTTTTTCGGTTCACTGAATAGCTTTAAGGCTCTAGTGATGTCCTGCCTTATGATAAACTGGTAAGTTGTAAGTTGTCAATTTTCCACGGATGCTCGAAATGAATCTGTTCAGACAGCTCCAACGCTCAGAAGATACATGGTATACACTGTGTACCTTCAAGCATTGGATGCAGACCAGAATCACTAAAGGCTAATATTATACAGTAAGATATTTAACCCTCAGTATGCTCCCATGCTGTCATTTATATATGATATATTTCTGCCAAATATAAACTTTCAACACGTTGCATTATTTTTATTTGGTTCACTTTTAGCTGGAACTTGTCGACGAGAAAAAAAGAGAAGGATTTACAGCATGTTTTTCTTGCTGCTTTTCTGTCCTGTTAATGATCTCACAACCTCTGACATTTATCTTGTGACCCTTTGTGGGGATCCAGACCCCGACTTGTAGTCCATCACTGGAAGCATCTACAGAAAGACCTTTCATATACGGAGACACAAAGTTCCAGTGGCTCTGTTTGTCTAATTCCACACATCCACATAACTGGTATTGTCTAAAAATAGAAACCAAAAACAGTACAAAGGACTGCAGAAGGCCCATACAACTGTCTCTCTCTCTCTCTCTCTCTCACACACACACACACACACACACACACACACACACGCACACACACAAAATCCTAAAATAGAAACAAAGGGGGCATTAAGGGCATTATGCGCACAAGACAAAGTATAAAGGTGCCCCAATTAAAAATAAAAGCACAACTATATAAACCGATTACAACAGCACATGTAACAAACAGTTGGGTGTTATTCTGCAAAAGTTCTTTCTCCTTATGGTTTCTTCAGTGCAGATATGTTCAGAGCCAAAAATGATTAGGATGATCAATGGAGCAGCTGAACAACAAAAAATATTAATGACTGTGATTCTACTGTTTACGCAATTTTTGAGGCAAAAACATTCACAGCTTCTCGATTGTGAGGATTTGCTGCTATAAGAGAGTAAATTGAATCTTTTGGGGGTTTTGGACTGCAAGCAATTTTGAGATGTCAACCTGGGATTTATGAAATTATGAGATGCATTTTTTCCAGCTCTTTGATCTGAACTCATTGAAGGAATAATCAAGACACTATTAGCAGATTAATCAATAATTAGGTAATTGGCATTAATTGGTAATTGCAGTCCTAAATTGATTAATCAATCCAAATTTTTGTTTGTTTTCTTTCTCTCACGGTTAACAGAAGAATGCACTGTGCATAGCGATTTTTCTCAAACAATTAATTGAATAGTTATGGAAATAATAAGCAGCTCGGTTCCGCTAATGTAAAATCAATCACATAGATTTGGTAAATAATGATGAATGATCATAATTTATCAAGCCAGCTAAACTGAGTTTCATTTTGTCTTAATGTTGAAACGAACACTGGTGATTTTTCAAGCTTGTTTTGGCCTCAGGGATTTCCTAAATTATCACACATAATTAGATGATCTCACTGCTCTGAATAAGTTCACTGGAGCCCCTGAAGGGCCGCAGACCTCAGACTGGAACATCCCGGTCCTGCCAATACATACTGCTGCTTTTGTTAAGATGCAATAATTGTGAGTGTGACAAATCATTTGTTTTTTAGGTGAAAAAAAAAGATCCCTTTTCATGGCGTGTTGTGGACAAATATGCACAGTGAACATCGACGGGGTCTTCGTCGCTGTATAGAAAAAATGTAGGAGTCTAAACATGGTTCGTTGTCTCAACACTACTCTGACATACACTGCAATATACCTCTAACACTAATCATTCAGTTTGTCATCTTGTGAACAAAGTCAGCAGGCAGAGAAATAAATAATAAAGGTATCTTGCTGCCAGCAGCCGGGATTTGACCTTTACTTTGCCCAACTTCACTTAATACAACATTTCCAAAGTACACTATACAGAAATGTGACCTCAACTTCACAGCATCTGCAACCACAGCAAACAAAACAGCCTGTTGTTTATCTGTTCGCTTTTAGCCGTCGACGTGCCCGAGGGCCTCTGCAACATAACCCCCAAAGAGTCAAAAACACTCGGCAGAAACAAGCACAAAGCGTCCTGCTGTACTGAGAGAGGACGCAGGGTGAGTGCAGAATGACAAACACTGATTTGTATTTTTTTTGACTTGCATGCTACAGGCATTCCATGATGGTCCTACCAGGATACATTAACGAGACTGCCCCCATTTGCTATGCGGACCAGAAGAATAGGCCACTTTGTCTCACAGTTAAGCTGCTAACGTGCTCCGCGGAGCTCGCAGACGACAACTGTGATGCTAATGCGAGCAGCTACATCACACCAACCTGTGGTCTTCTCCTCCCCTCACGTATTGTCACGCTATTATGCAAAATGACAACGTCATAAAAACACTTGTGTGCTTAAGTGGTAGTTGTTGTGGTGGCAATTAGCATGAACCTTTAAAAACACATGATGGTGTTTGGGATTAGGTTGCTAGTGTACAGCTCTAACAGTCAGAAAGCTAATATTAAATTACTGGGACTATTCATTAATCAATACTTGCTGATGTTAACAGAAATGCACTTATGATTACACTGTATGCTTATGAAATGATTACACAGCACAGTGCAGCCTAAATAGTATTTATGCCATAGTATAATGCAATTTTTACACCAAATCAAAGATGTTCAATTCGATTAAGATCTTCATGTCTCAATTCACGAATTCAGCTCAAACTGAAATATCAGTCTGTGTACGCTTTCTGTGGCATACTGGTCACGAGCTACATCGACTGTATAATCCAAATGAGACGTACATTTTGTACTGAGGAGCACTTTGTTCTTTTTTTTTTTTTTTTTCGTCTTGTCACCATAAACCCTAGAAATCATTTTTTAACGCTTTTAGGAAGTTATCCTACATAAATTTCAAAGCAGTGTTTTTTTTCTCTTAAATATGCCATGGAATGAAAGCAGTGGGGGCTAATTACGAGCATTCTTCACTGAATTAGCGTTCGGTGTGTGGTAAGGCCTTTGTCTTGATCCCTAAACTGATCCCTTACTTATTCCCCACAAGGTCAGAGGTCACTTGGTTAATTAAGGGCCCAATCAGTCTTTAGATAAACTCATCTGAGCTTAATGTTTGCACTTTTTGAGGTCCAGCAGCTCTGCCTGGTACCCCTGAGCTTTGTGTGGACTCTGCTAATCTACCCACAGACAGGGGAGCAGGTTAACCCAGCTCAACAGCGCCAAGCTGGAACGGCCTTTTCATTTGAGGACTTCAGTCAATGAAGAATGTCTGTAAGCTCTCGCCAAAGCAGTGAAAATACTCTAACTTGATGTATTGTACACGGAGTGTGGGTTCGGGGTGGGGGCGTCCTAAACCTCTCAAAGAACTGCAGATTATGGAGAGCAAGTAATGTTTATGCTGCATGCAGAGGGTAATGTTTTCAATGGATTTACTGTATTGTCCTCTGCTGCTGGACCATGCCACACACATATCCAGGGTGATGAAAGCGTGGCCGAGCAAGTAACCATGAAATCGTCAAATGTGTTGTGGATGGATTTAACTCAACAAAGATTACTCAATAGCTCGCAGTATATCAGTAACTTAATCTAAGGTTGTACAGTTTGATTAAAACTTTCATGCATCCTTTAATCAGAGCTCCTTTTCCCACTGAGTGGGCTCAACGAAGGCTAATGATGTACAGTGTGCGCTGACTGGACTGCAGCTCTATTATCTTTCTGAGTGCAATATTTTATCACAGCAATTTCTGACATAATGTTATTTTCCATTGCAGCCATTACTGAAGGATGAGGGTTGGACCGATCCACACAACCCTATACAACAAGTTCTGTTCAGGTTCATGCTTTTGAGTGTTCACAAGAGACAGGGGGAAAGGAGAAGGATGGAAGATGGGGGTGGAAGGGGGAAGTAGGAGCAAGAGTAAATCTGACACATGTTAACCATCTAAACATGCAAACTTGTTGAATACAGTACGAACAATCTTTTCCAGAACTGCACATTTAATGTTGCATAAAATTCAGACTTTTAAGCAGCCAGGTCAATACTAGGTCAAATGCACAAAAGTGATTATATATGTACCTGATTGCACAGCCGTTCCATAAAACAAAAAAAACTAATTGAAATCAATCAGAAAAGCAAAAAAAAACAACAAAGCTCATATGATGTCCCAGTTGCAGTAATGCAACATCTAAGAAGCATGAAAATGTGGATACACACAAGAATATACAAACAGGCATGTGTCCTCTTGACTGACTCGACTCACACTGCAACACCTTCACACCTTCTTAATGATGTAAAAGCTGAATTTTCCAAGAAACACAAACTTGAAAGCGACTCACTGAAGCGTCTTGTTAAGAACACCTCAAAAACTCTCCCAATCCGAATGCAAAATGATCCAAATCACCACCGTATGGAGTTTTTTTTAAACAACAAAAACCTACATTTATGGAAGATAACTTTAAAAAAACAAACAAAATAAACCCCACTAGATTTAACCACAAACTAGCAAATCGCAGAAATTCTGAGTCTTAGAAAAGCACATCCAGCTTTACGCAACACATTTCTACCGATAATTCATCAAGATTACAACCTCTCTGAAAATGCATGCAGAAGTGAAACAAGAAAACTCACCAAAGTGCCTCGTTCAAGTGTACCCTCAAACACAACGGTCTCTACTCATACAGAAAATCTTAGGAGTCTCTTGTCCCTCGGACTGCCAGGGAATCAAAGCTATGAAAAGATGTGAATGTAGCTGAGCAAATAGGATTAAAGATGGCTAAATCCAAATGGCTGGAAGCACAGCATGCATTAAAGAGGAATTCTCTCAGGAAAGATAATCCCCATATACGCATTTTAACACACTTCACTCACTCCCGTGTGTGTTTTTTTTTTTTTTTTTACACACAGTCATAGTAAAGCCACGATTGCCTGACTGTCCACACACGAGTCAATAAAATCTATAAATACAGCTCCAACCATTCAGACTGCCACAATGACACATACGACTTCTAATTCCAGAGGTGGAAACTTTATACAGACACTGTAATAACTTTGACAGCCTGCAAACAACACATGCTGCCACGTTCCCTCCTCCCCTCTCCATTGGCTCCTTACCTTCAGCACCTCCATTGGTACCTGTGCAGCGGGCGGTAAACTGACATTGATGGCAGGGGTCTGGGCCGCTGTGGTTTGTGGGTACTGGGAGGCCTGCTGCCTCTGCTGCTCCCGCCGCTCCTGCTCCTGAAGCTGCTCCCGCATCAGCTGTTGCCGCAGCAGGATGCGTGATGTCATGGTGGAGGAGCTCAGCGGGGGCTTGGATGAGCTGTGCTGGTCCGACGGGCTGCTGCCGAGGGGAGGCAGATGCCAGACGGGCGAGCAGAGGCGGAGGGAGAAAAAAGCGAAAGGGCCGATTAGAAAGGTGAGGTGAAGAGAGGCGATAAGGCAGACAGTGATAACACGGAGAGGGTAAAGAGAGGTCAAGAAGGGGCAGACATGAAAACAGGAAAATCTTGAATGCAGAGCTGCAATAATTAGGTGACTGATTGATGTAGAGTTGAACTACTGAGATCCTTCAGACCATTTTGCAAGCAAAAACATCTGCAAGTTTCAGCAGCTGCAAGGATTTGATGCTCTTTGTTAACAGTTGGTCGGGCAAACTGAAGCAATCTGAAGAAATCACACTTGCCCTCTTTTCACTATCTTCTGATGTTTTCCAACTAAATAACTCCACTTAATTCTTAGCTGCAGCCCTACTTTTTTGCTCTTGCAGGGGTAATTACTCTAAACGAAACCTTTTCAGTGTCAATGCATCAATTACAATGCGTTTTCAAAATGGTAAACTGTGACTCTGGGGGTTTTGGAGAGCAGAAAGCTACTGCGCTTCAACATTTGCAGATTTAAACACAACAGAAAGAGGAACATTTCGCAGAAAAGGTTGCTTCAGTTTTCCCACTCTCTTAAATTTAGACGGCTACTCCCCAGACAGAGTCCTGCAGTCCTAAAATAGAGAGACTCTGCTGAAGCAGAAGTTGTCGGGATGAAGCCTTCATCGAGTGAGTGATCCTTTTGATAAAACTCAGTAAAACGTCTGGCCAATCCAGCTGTGCAGTAATCGCACTAATTAGCCAGTGGAGTCAAACACAGCCTCGGTCTGCAGCGTATTCAGTGGGTGTTGAGCCCTCAACATACCATAATTCTCTCCCCGGCACTGCATATAATCTCATTGTTTGATACCACACCCACTGAACCCTGCAACAAATATCAGACCAAACCATATTTTAGAACCAGTGTTGACAAAGTCAAACATCCAATTTGAGATGGAAAATAGATTGTTAATGGAAAATGAGTCAGTTAACAAAGAAATGTAATGACTGAATCACAGCAAAACAGAGAATGAACTTTAGCTTGTTCTCTGAAAGTACTGCAGCAGATCGGGTCTCTCAATCCGACAGTTTTTTCTTTTTTCCCCCCCTCAAGTTCTTTGTACCCAACACACTCAGTCAGGTTTAGTGTTCATATGCATAATTCCTTTGTCTGTGTGACTTTGGGTGATTGTGTTTCCTTTCATCCCAGAAATTTCAAACAAAAGTCACTGGATCTGAATGCTAAAACTCTTCATTTCCACTGCCAGAACCAAAGGCTTTGATTTTTTCCTTTCTTTCTTTCTTTAATCTACTTCTCTGTTTGAGTGTTTGAATTCTAAGACAGCCTGTAGTTTCATTTCCTTCTTTCCTATTCCCAGTTAATATGCAGAATTTGATTAAAGTAGAACTGGGAAATTTTATTTAAATAATCAATTACTCATTCATCATGTTTTTTTATTTGTCAGTTTCCATTTCCTCCAGCTCTTCAAACGTGACTATTTGATGGTTTTCTATGACAAAGAGCTGAATATCTTTTGCATTGTCAGTTATATTTTTGGGCAATCACAACCTAGCAATTCAAAGATGTCGTTTTGAGCTGTAGGAAACTGAATTTTAATTAGGGAATTGAGAAGATAAATAACAGATAATTCATCCGATGTGAAATGGTCATAATTACGGCTCTAAATTAAACACCGATTTGAAACAGCTTCTTTGATCTTTGTCATATTCTGTCCTGAAGAGTGCATTTTAATTTAAAATTCAGTAATGTTCTACACTTGTTCAGACTTAATATGCTTGGAAAAACGAATTTGTTGTATACACACACATGCACATATTGAACATTAGGTAGTTGTAGCGGTGGAAAGTAAATTAATGCATTTACTCAAATACAGGCCTGAACTCAATTTAGCTTTGAGGAACTTTGTACCTTCACTCCGTTACAGATCACAAGCAAATATCAAATTCTCTATTCCATGAAAATGATTTGATGGCTGTTCTTACTGTGATGGTATGGATTATTAGGACAAAATACAATATACAAATTAAGCGACACAGTAGTATATATCGTACATTAGTTTAACCTAAACTCACCACTTACAGCAACAACATTAAAGTGATATCAAATAGTATTATTAAATATTTAGCACTTTTACTTCCGTTACCTGAAATAGTTTATCATTATTTCGCCTTTTATGCACACGTGGGTAATTTCTGCTCCACCTACTTGCTATGCAGCAAATTTTTGGGGTTCAAATTTAGTATTGTATTTTTTTGCATCTGTATTATGTATGGGTGTGAGCACAGCAACTAACATACAGTTGGTGGATGTCTTTCTCCAACTCGCATTTTACATTAACATGGTTCTTAGAAAACACATAGACCGAGTACAGCCGGAGAGCACAACTAAAAGACACGATGTTGTGATGTATCTCTGCACAGGAATCTGTACGTCTGCCTCTCCTGAAGTTTAAACCGCCAGGCTTCCCCGCTCAGTCTTACAGTTTGAGTTTTAACAGTTTTGGCGTGCGCTGTTCTGGTGAAAACATCTTCACACCCCTGCAGGCAATCAGAGCGAAAACAAATTCTTCGCCACCTCCGACACAACAACTCGAGGTGCAGCATCGCCTCTGGGCACAAGAAAGGGTACACCAGTTTGTCTTCACCTCACAGGAGCATGAAGTGTCAGAAAGCACAGACACATTTCCCAACCATGGGAACAAAATAAGATCCTCAGTGTTGTTTAAGGACACTTCAGCAGACATGATGAGGTGGGGGGGGAAATGAGTTTTACATGATGTTTTACATCTGGTCCAAAAATTCTATCAAATACACTAGTTCACGAAATTATGAGCAATATCTTGCATAATTACAGATGCTTTTTTTTTTTTTACAATACAAATGTTGAATGAAAGTGTTTAATATCTATATGCACTCCAATATCTATCTAAACAATATTGTGTTACACGAGTATCTACATCCATCCATCCATCCATCATCTATACATCGCTTAATCCTCACTAGGGTCACGGGGGGGCTGGAGTCTATCCCAGCTGACTTAGGGCGAAGGCAGGGGACACCCTGGACAGGTNATGAGTTTTACATGATGTTTTACATCTGGTCCTAAAATTCTACCAAATACACCAGTTCACGAAATTATGAGCAACATCTTGCATAATTACAGATGTTTTTTTTACAATACAAATGTTGAGTGAAAGTGTTTAATATCTATATGCACTCCAATATCTATCTAAACAATATTATGTGTTACACGAGTATCTACATCCATCCATCCATTATCTGTACACCACGTAATCCTCACTAGGGTCACGGGGGGTTGGAGTCTATCCCAGCTGACTCAGGACGAAGGCAGGGGACATCCTGGACAGGTCACCAGTCTACCAGCCAAGCACACTCACATTCACACCTACGGACAATTTAGAATCACCAGTTAACCACAATGTGTTTTTGGACTGTGGGAGGAAGTCGGAGAACCCGGAGAGAACCCACGCTGCACAGAGAGAACATGCAAACTCCACGCAGAAAGATCGCGGGTGTCCTCACCTGGATGCACATCGGCGACCTTCTTGCTGCGAGGCAACAGTGCTACCAACTGCGCCACCTTGCAGCCGTGATACACGAGTGACAATTACATTTTTTTTCCTTGCACCCCCCCCCCCCTTTTTTTTTAGTGTGCCTAAAAGCTTTCTTGTGAACAACATATGTGATAGCGATACTTTTTAAAATGACCTCAAATATCCTTAAAATATCTTCATATTGTACATTTATCTCAGACACATCTTTAGTATCTCTGCAATGCAGTTACTTCATAATTATTTGTGATTATTTACACCAATATCAATATAACTGTGATGTCCAACAAGAACCTAAAATAAAAGTTAGAAAGTTTAGAATATCAGCCCCATGGGTTTCTAATTTTAATTAGCCTATATTTAAATAATTACAGGATAGCAATCCCAGCACTTTACTTTTTACCTAAGGCCTATTGAGTTGTAGCACCTCAACATTTTTAACATTTTCCTGACTATCAGATTGCCTGTGTTTGTCTGTGTGCATGAATGACCAGAAACCTCTCTGCAAAGCAAAGCTCAACCTCTCTGATTCGTTCTCTCTCTTTTTCTCTGCTTCTTCCCTTTGACTGTTTGGTGGCTTTTTGCCAAACGGACCACTGAAACACATAAAAAGCTCTTTTGTCCTTTTTAACTTTTTCACTCTTGTGTGTGCACACACCTCCTCTCATGTTTGTGTGCATCTCAAAGAAGAAAAAAAACAAAACAATGGTCGTACAGTCTTGAAAAGCCCCACCCACCCAACTCATGATTCCTCTGATTGTGCTCACTGTGCTCCTCCATCAAACTCCACCATTAGTCAAACTGTCAGAGCTGAGTGTTTGATGCAGGATTTAATGACTGACTGACTGACTGACTGACAGACAGCAAACAAAACAAAAAAATTAAGTAGCTTTGCATCCTGAAAGAAGTGAAGGTAAGCGACAGTGGTTACTGAAGTGCCAAAAGTCTGATCAGAGTCAAAACACTGAGACAAAATCTATAATACAGACACACTGCACCTCTAAAACTGCTCACTATTGCCTGGTAAAAGGCTGCCTCTGCTTTGCACACCTAATGACCCCCTTGTGACCAAAGAACAGCTCTGCCTAATGGACAAAAATGGTACAACAACAACCTCACATAAAAATTATTAGCACTTCAACAAGACTTTCTATTACTTCTTTCTTATATGAAATATAAACAAATGTCTTTAAACTCTTCTGTTGTTAACTTTGTGTAAAAAATATTTATTTGTCACAAGAACATAAGATTTTATTTTACCTAAAGTTTTCACTTCTTATTTATGAATCAATGACTAATTGCAATCAGCTCCATGATCATCTGGCAAATTATGAGTCAAATACAGCCCCAAGCATTCAGCACAAAATGCACAAGAAGCAATCTGTTTA